GAAGATAAAAAAAAGTGTAGCCAACACTCAACTCCTATAGTACTAAATTTATCCAGATTAAAGTGTCTCAAAATGTCCTAAAATTTTAGGAAACCTTTTTTTGCCAGACCACAGCATTGCCTTAAGTGAAACCTAACATATAAGCTCACCTACCCATAACTAAATGCTCTTATGCTATTATCTTGTTGCAGAACCACACCAAGCCCTTTTAACAGCTTAAATTGCCCAACTGCACAAATTATTAATTCTAAGTCATAAAAACCTCTAGGATTTAGCATCCATATATACTCTATAACCCAAAGCATCCAGACACCAATTCCCAAGTTCTGCACATGGCCATAATAAACCCTACTTATCTTTTTACTTGTTTTCTATTAAACACTTCTTATGGCCAGCAGGCACACTATTTCCCACATTACTTTCTATCATTCTGCCTCAGTGAGCTGGACTGTAGAGGCTTCCAAGGGCTAAGACTGAAGGGTGGAAAACAGCAATAACAGCCCCAATACTTGGAAAACAGAAGGTAAGTAAGCTAGTTCTCTACTCCAGATTTCAAGATGAAAAGCTTTTACATATCAGTGACTTGGTCAACAAGGATGACTTCTGGCCAACTTAAGATCAGTAGCTAACACAACCAGCATGCAAATTAATCCTAAAGTGCCTTGTATGGAAGTCACTGCCTGAAGAGCCTCAGTTCTGGAATCAAAACAAAAACAACCCCTACCCAAACCAACAACCAATAACAGTGCTTTTCAAGACTGCCAATGATACACCGTGACTTGGGGACTACTTAGGTATCATTTTTTTATGCTTTCACCCACCCATCCTTCCTTAATAGCACACTACCAAGTCTTCCCTAGTGCCACAGCATTTAGTCAATTATGTTATAGACCATCCATGCCTTTTATAATTTAGAGATAACCTTACCATTTGTGATCAAGTTCAGTCTGATTTTAATTTAATAGTCCAGGAGACTTGGCAATCACTCTCCGACAGGTCTACAAATTTTTAAAACTAAGACCCAGGGAGTAAATATTTTAGGCCATGTCTGTCACATATTCTTATTTAAACAACCCTTAAAAAGAAAATCCATTCTTAGCTTGCAGGTCACACAAAGACAAAATTAAAAGATTCACAAGTGAGATAAGGGTCAAAGGCTCTCTCCTTTAATAGCTCAATTGCATCCCAGCATTAGCTATATTAAGGAAGTCCTTTTAATTTATAAAGCAAATCTGCACACTAAACTCTGTTACAGCACTACCTAACTACATGTAATAGGCAGTGCAAAAAGCAAAGTTTTTCAAATCTGGGGAACTAGTAAGTCAGCACACAGGAGCTCCAGTGACTGCTAGGTATCATCTAGGAAAAGTCTCTTGATGGCTAAAGAATAGCCACCCTAAGAAAGTATCTGTAACCGTGGACACCAACCATACTGAAGAGGACCAGGGCCTACTTTCAGGGACAGTGTAACAGCAGCTAGTGAACAAACTTCCAAGGCAGAAAATGGGAGTTCAAACCTTAGCTCTGCCACTTCCCACGCTTCCCGAGGCAAGTTACTCAACTTCTCTGCGTCTCAGTATAGTATTGACACCTCAGATTTTGAGGATTAAACGGCCTAGTTCACGTAAAGCATTTACAATAATGTCTAGTCTAAGCACTTGAGAAACATTAGCTACTTTTTTATGTGTCACCACTGTGTCCAGGAAGTCACCTTCATCAGTTACATACACAGGGAATCCCCAAAAGAACTAAATCTGACAGCCACAACTAGGTATTTTTCCTAAAGATAGCTAAACCCTTCCGTGGCTTAGTTTATTATACCTTTTCTTGGACCATGCGTAATAAACTCAAATGCACAGGCCAGGCAGGAAGAGCAGGCAGGGAGGTCAACAACAGGAGAAAACCAGACCTGACATACTGTGGTAAATAAGAGAATGTATGCCCCATTGAAAGATGGCAAATAAGAGAATGTATGCCCCACTGAAAGATGGCAATAATACTCGTGGCCATCTGATTTTATTTACATGGGACTTCAGGCCCCAAAGCTAAAATTCAGATCTTAAAAAGATGGTAATCTGAACATTTTGGAGATTATCTCCCTAATTTTAAACAGCAACAATTCATTCCAATTCTTTCTAAGATACTGTGTTATCCAAACAAAACATCTGGGGGTAGTTCAGTTAGTAGGTCACCAGTCTATGTCCTCTGCCCTATTGGATTCTCTTTGCTCCAAATTCCCTGCCCACCCCAAAACTCTAAGTACTCCGGAGAACAGAGAAGCATTCCTATGTGGTCACTATGAAAGACGCATGTCTCAATGAAAAACTGTTAAAACTGTTACTGATTCATGCCAACTTTTCACGAAATTTGATGAGCATGGATTATCCTCAAAAGAAGGAAGCAAAAGACAAAATCAGGTTTCCAGACTTAAAAAGCAGAGAACCAAACCCTGAAACCACTGACCCCTGTGGCATCCTTCTAATGACATCTTCAACAGTTTTGAGTGAAGCTTTTCATAATAAAATGAAATGGGGGGGGGTGTTAATAAACCCCTCTAGTAACATAATCCAATTACTGTTTTCAAGACACAGCATACTGAAGGACTAACCATGAATCTGTCAGAATTCTTAGATTCTGTAGCCAAAATGTTTGATGGTCTAAACTCTACACTCTTACTTAACACCTCTTACCCAAGAAAACATCAGAAGAAAATCCTTTAAAAAATAATTCTGATAAGGCTACATTATTTTCACAGGTAGTAATTTAGATCAAAACATTTACAACGAAAATACGTTTCTTTAAAATCAAAGTTTATATAAAAATTATCTTCTGTTTTCATTACAAAAATCTTAAGGACCATAATATAATTCAGAGAACTCCAAGGTTAAAATTATAGTCACAGCAATCATCTCAAACACTACATCCTCTCCTTTCTACAGAAGCAGCATGTGTCTGCTTCCCCCCAAACCCCCACCAAGAGCCAAGTGCCTACACACCCAACCAACTTGCAAACTACCAGATTATAGTTTTTTAAGACCCACATTTTCCCTTAATCAAGGCAAACCTCTCCTGGACTTAATTGTAGTCACATTTTACAGTGACTTAAAATCACTGAAATAACCAGTTTAGAAACACAAAGCACATTTAAATCAGTTAACGTGACAAAATAGTTGAGGTTAGGACAGTCCAAAGGATCATCAAAAGTCAATTTACATTTAACTTGCCCTGGAGGACAACCAATAGGGTTGATTCCAAGTTAGAAAAGAGAAAGTCAAGGAATGGCATCTCCTAAAATAATTTAGAGTATGTAAATAAACTACTTTTAGATTATCAATTGTTCACTTCAAAAATCATAACCTCTGTCCATTTAACAAAATGCAGCAAAACATAAGGCACATGGTACAATATCTAAAGCACATACAAACTACAATCTTACCACAGAAAAGCTGCAAATTACAGTCCCTTCTAATGTGTACACCAGCATTACATTGGGTAAAGGATTAAAGGCAGTGTTTTTCAAGGTATGGCCCACCAGACATAATCACCTGGAATTCTTGTTAAAAATGTACCCCTGACCCAATGAATCCAGGCTGGGAAGGGGAAGAACTCAGGAATTTGTATTTTTTTAACAACCTTCCAGGATAATAAGCCTACTTTAATTTGAAAACTATTGGTTTAAGGGTTAGGACAGTAAGGAGAGTCAGAGGGAAGTGCTAACATTCAGAGATCAACTAAGAAGTGGTCAAATGTAAGCACCCACGCATTCCCTTCCTTCATCACTAGTAACCCATTATTAAAAAACTGATGAAAAATGTAACCTTGGTATGTCACAAAAGCAGTGTTAAGAGTAGATGGAAGATTCCCAAAGATTTTGGAAGAAACAATGTTTCCCCACAATTGCAAACGTGGAAAACAGACCATCAAATGCTTACAATCTCTTCTGCTTTGAACATTTCCACAATTACTTCATGGTTGAGTAATGAAAGGTTTTCATCAGCCAATTAGGTCTGTCTTTAAGCTTGATCTTGCCCTCTTGGTTTCTTGCAGTAGTGTCTATTTCACATGCATTCAGCATTATGTCTTACTCTTAGGTGTTCTTTTAAAACATCTGGTTGTTTAATGCCTTCTAAAGTAAGAATTTAAGAAAACACCAAGATGACACTATGCCACCTGTAAGGCCAATATGCTATGAGCACACATCATGCTCTACACCCATATGCAACTGCACTAGTAGCCTTGCTTGGCAGCCATCTTGAAAATGATGCCCGGCTCACAAGGGAGACCACGAAGAAGAGTACAGTGTGTAGAACTGCACGTTACCATTACTATTGCTACAAACGATTCTAAGGACTAATCCTAAAGATAGGAACAAAAAAGTATGAGAAATAAAAACAGAAGGAGAAAGGCAATTTCTTCCAGATGCGACTGCAGGAACAAATAAAAACTACTGTAGTCCTAATGGGAAATTTATCCAAAGCATTCAAGACAGCATACATTGAAACGTTAAACAAAGGTGCTCTAACCTTAACAGTCAAGATGACAAATCTTGCACTATCAAATCTTGTTACCTCTAAAGGTTAAGGTGTTAGATATAACCTATATATACACTTATCAGTGGGTCACATCACGTTTTTCACTATCAATTTCAATAACGTATAAAAGAGTGACAAGGATAAAAATGCGCCTGAGAATCAGACTAGGTCCCAGTCTCCTCAGTTTGCCCTGTTAAGAGTTGGCTCACTCACTGCACTTGCCTTTTAAATTGCTCCGTACCTAAGACGACTATCAAACTGGTTTTAGATTAATATTTAGCTGCAAAACAAAGACCCTCTCTATAGATTGTCTAAATTCTTAATCCCTTCAGTCTTCAAGGAAAGCAAAATCTCACTACCAAGAAATAACAAGCTACACATGCTTACACCCTTCCAAGTCCGCAGAGCCTACCCACGGAGCAGAGCATGCAAAAGGTAGGACGGAGACTACGGTGGCGGTCATCTCACCTGTTGATGAAACCATATCCGTTTCTTACATTGAACCATTTTACTGTTCCCAAAACCTTCGTTGCTGGAGGAAAAAAAAAAAAAAACACACAAAAAACCCACGATTACCAGACATCCTTTCTTAAACCCGCCACGCTTGGGTACCCGGCCCGCGCGCGCTCCGCCGCGGCCCGCGACCACCTGACAGCCTTTCCCCTCCGAGGCCGCGCGCGGGCCCCACAGCACACGTGGGTGCGCTCGGGGCGGCGGAGGCCCGCAGGCAGGCCCGGGCCGCGGAGCCGGCGGGCGGGCGCGGCTGCTGGGCGGGGAGCACGTGAGGGAACGGGAAGCGCCCGGCCCACTCGGGCCTGCGTAGGCGGCGCGCCGCGCCCTCAGGGTACACGCGGAAGGGAGCGAGCTTGGGGGACGGAACAACGGCGTGCGGGCCTGAGCGCACGCGGCCGCCGGGGAGGGGAGGGACCCCGCCGCACACGCGGTCGGCGGCGCGCGGCCGCCCGGGGGGAGGGGCGCGGGGTCCGCAAGGGGCGCGAGAGGCGGCGCGCGCGCGCGCGCTAGCCGGGCACGCGGACCGGGGCGGGCCGGCGTCTGCGAGGGCGCGAGGGGGGAGGTTGGGGGAGGGGCGGCCGCGCGCCACCGAGTCGGTCCCCGCCGGCCGCGCGCCCGCCGGCTCGCCCCGCTTCGGGTAACGGTTCCGCCGCCAGGCTTCCCTACGGCCCCACCCCCGTCCCCGTCCGGCCCTCACCGATGACCTTCTTGTCCCCGCCGGCAGGCGCCGCCGATGTGAGGCCGCCCGGGCCGCCGCTCCCTGCGCCGCTGCCCGTGGTGCCGGGCTTGGTGTCGGCAGCGCTGAGGGCGGGGGCGGCGGGGGGGGCGGCGGGCGGCTGCTGGGTCTCGGCCTCGCTGCTCATGGTTGCGGTGATGGTGACTGGGGCCGGCTGCGGCAGCTGCGGCTCCTCCCGGGGTGTGATGGTAACTAGGCCGGCGGCGGCGGTGGGGCTGCTCAGGGCTCTCTGGGGTCCGCTCTCCGCTCCCGCTACCGATCGAACTAGCGAGAATGGCGGGACGGGCGGGATAAGCCCTGCGATCGACCCGCCCCAAGCATCGTTCACTGGCCAGCAGTGCTGTCAATCTCACCACCTGACCCCGATTCCTGGCCTCTATTGGCTAATACTTTATCACTCCTCTACTCTCATTGGCTCTTAGGCGGCTAATTCGGCCGACCTACAACCGTTCCTGCCTCCGCCGCCGCCATAGAGACCGGAACTAGAATTAGAGTAGAGGCACCACGAGAACCATAGAGTACCCGAGAGGACGGGCAGAGTGAACATGACTTTCACGAGGCTGCAACGCGGGCGGGCGGGCCTCACGTCCAGGGTTAGGTCCTGGCCGAAGGAAGGGGACTACCAAACGCCTGATCCGGGGGCTTGAAAGGGGACCCGACGACACCTTAGCCTCATGTGGAGGGAAGGCCTTCCTCTCTCCCTGTTTTAAATGTGGTCCTTGTGACCTTAGACTGCGGATTGAGCCCTGTTTTCTACGATGGCCGTGTACTCTCGGCACAGCGAGGGTTTCTGGAACGGACTTAAACGTATGCATTCAAAGAGCGTCCGTTTTGGCGGAGCAGTCACCTTGGAGGGACCACGCAGTCCGTCAGTCGCCCCTGCTCAGCATATTTAGGGCGGAGGGCGGTGGTGTACTCCACGGGGACCTGCCTTCTGAACCATCTTACTAGGCAAAGAACTGTCTCGTTAAGTAGTCACGTCTTTCTGAATTGGCCACAAATCAGATTTAATTTCAGTCTACGTTTATTGAGCAAGCTGGGCATTTTCTTTGCATTTTATCCGTACAACACCGATGTGAAATAGGGATTACGATCCTCATCTCACAAATGATTTATAATTGAGGCTGCCACCTGATGTAGCTGAAGTCCTCTACCTTCATTCGTTCTCTGTTAAGGGTCTACTATCGGCTGGGATGCACTAGTTCACGACTCAGTTTCTGCCTTAAATTCAGTCTAGGGATGAAGGCAGAAATTTAAATACCCCAAACTCCAAACACTCCAGCTTTGCAAAAGCACAAAGCATTTTGGGAGTGGAGGTGGGAAGAAGGTGGAGTGCTGACTCCAGGCACTAGGAGGTTTATGCAAAAGCCTAGAGGCAAGAAGACGGGGTCTGGGGGAAATAGAAGTTAAAGTAGTCTAGTCAGACTAGAATGAAGACCTTGGGTTATAGAGGTAGGCAGGTTCAAATTAGGAACGTTTTATTTGAGATTATCCTAAGGGCAACAGCGAGAAGGGTAATTTTAGAACTGTTAAGTAGGGAGTGGCAACATTTTTTTTTAACGGCTACTGAGTGTGGGGCGCTTGGGTGGCTCAGTCGTTAAGCGTCTGCCTTTGGCTCAGGTCATGATCCCAGGGTCCTGGGATCGAGCCCCCTCATCAGGCTCCCTGCTCAGCAGGAAGCCTGCTTCTCCCTCACCCACTCCCCCTGCTTGTGTTCCCTCTCTCGCGGTGTCTCTGTCAAATAATAAAATCTTAAAAAAAAAAAAAAAGGCTACTGAGTGGGGAAGGGGTTGTAGAGGGACAAAATGTAAGCAGAGAGACAGTAGGCCAGTGCAGTATCCTCTAGGCTGTCAATTCCACCTCCTAAAGGCTTCCCTGAATCAGTCCTAAAAATCTCTAAATGCCAAACCAGACTGTCTCATTCCTACTTCCATGACGCTAGTATAGGCAATCATCTATTGCTTACAGCAGGAGTAGGCAAACTTTCTCTAAGGGCCAGACAGCAAATATTTTAAGCTTTGCAGGCCAGACGATTCTGTCTCAACTGCTCAACCTTAGAGCCTGAAAGCAGCCAGACAATAAACAAGTGCACGTGTGTTCCAAAAAAACTTTATTTGTGTACACAAATTCGAATTTCATATTTTTACGTATCACAAAATATTCTTTTGTTTCAACTATTTGAACATTTAAAAAACATTCTTATTCTTAGCTTATGAGCCACTGAAAAACAGGGAGTGTGATCTGACCTGCCAACCAGTTTGCTGACCCCTCACTTTAGAGCACTGCTGTGGCCTCCTAGCCACTCTCTACCTCTTTCTTCCTCTAAGATTCTCCACCACGATATCCAGGGTGTTCTGAAAACATCTATCTGATCATGACAGTCTTATTACTACTGCCCTTAGGTTTGTCCAACTTCCTTATTGTGGTTTACATGACCCTGTAAGACTTCTCCAAACTTACCTCTGACACTTCTTTCACATTCCTCGTTCAACCTTCCAGGTGATCTTTGAGCCATTGCTTCCTTTGAGCTATCACATACTATTCCTTCTACATATAACTCTTCCTTTCTCCCTTCTTCTGACTGCTTAACTCTTCATCCTTTGGGTCTTGCCTCAGATGTTACCTTGTTAGGAGACCCTCCTATCCTAACACACTGTGTTGCATTAATTAAACCTTCCTCTCCTCAGACTGAGTTCCTGAAGCATCTGGACTAGTACTTGACACACAGTATCTTAATAATTTTGTTCTATGAATAACATGGTATAGAAAATGGACTGGAGAAGGTACTGACAGCAGAGAGGTTGTCTGGGCAACTGCACCAGTAATCCAGGTGAAAAAGGCTTGCAGCAATAATGTGTATGGACAGAATAGTCAGATGCTAGAGTTGCTATTCATCTGTTCCAGCTCCAGATAACTTTTGACTGTTAAAAAGAAAATGTTTCCTCAAAAGGCAGTTCTGCCCACACTGAGGACATTTAAAAGTGTGCCCTATAGGTCTGAGACCTTTTTCCCAAAGTGGACACTTAGAACAATGGGAGCAGCACCTCTGAATAAATGAGCAACCTTCCCTATGTAACTGGTTTGAAGGGATGGCTTCTCAAACAGAAATATCAATTCTGTAACATTTGTCCTTAAAATGTTACTTAAAAGTATCATTACTTATCCAGTTATTTCACTAAGCTCTCTTCATGTTCCACGAGCAGAAAGATGAGTTATTTAAGAAACGAGTTTCCATACCGCTGCAGAGATGGCACTGAGGCACTAGAGGGTAAATAGTTCCTGTCACAATTCAACCCCTGCGCCAAGGTGGGAGCTTTCCACTCCAGTTTTGCTAGCCCCTGCCACAGTGCCCAGCATGGTGACCAGTTTAGACAACTCCAGGGCCACCCGTAAGTGATATGAAACCAAGGTTCATTCCAAGAATCTCCTTTGCAAAATAATGTTCACCTTGTCCTCTATCTCTAATAGACTCTGGCCCAAGAACACAGGTCCTCTTCCTAGAAAGCCCCCAATCTGTCAATACTTACCTCAAATGTTACCTCTTCCTTTCATGCTACCCCCCTCCCCCACAGCATACCATTGTACATACCATTCAGGCAACAGGTATTTCTTGAGCGCTTACTAGATACTTACCTTTTCTAGGTGCTGGGGGACATAGCAACAAAACAAAACAACAAAACCGAATTCCCTGCCTTCATAAGGGGTCACATTCTAATACCACACTGAACTGAAATGGGCCTATCTCCTGTATGTCACAAGCATGGGCCACATCCTACTCATCTTGCAGCTCCTGTGCCCAGGACAGAGACTGGCCTAGAATGCAGGTGCCAAGTATAACTGAATTCAAATGAATGGCCCATCATAAGAATGTCAGCTCAGGATCTGAGCTGCTCCTCCTCCTTCCTCTCTCAAATTCCACCTTGTCTATAGTTATTTAAAGATCTCTCCTCCACTAGGTCAGTCCTTTCTTCACTTCGTCCCTGAACCTTGTTTACTTAGCTATAGAGAGTTGCAAATACCTATACTGTAGAGCCCTCATATATCTCACCAGCTCCCTGTACTCCAATACACTGAAATGGCACTTTTAACCAGGTTCTATTCTGTCACAGAATTCAGCTCTGTGCTACCTCTGCCACTGCCAGGAGGTTGAGTCATCCCTGCCCATAAGCCAAGAGGGAGAAAGCAGGAATGGCATGGAAATGGCCTCATGGAAGGAACACCAGGGAACTCTCTTTACCTCTTTAATATTATGCTCGGTGGGATCTTTCTGTGTTGGGCTATGTCCTTTCAAGATAAGCATTTTCCAAGGCATGTTACTGTTTACAAGTTGCTTTCATATCCATTTGCTTATTTGACCCTTTCAACAATGCTATGAAGTAGACAGGTATTATTATCCCCACTTTGCAGATGAGAAAACTGAGGCTCTGAAAGGGGAAGATAATTTCTCAAAACCTCTACTGTTTAAAAAATGACCCCATATTGAAACCAAGATTTTTGAGTCAATTATTCCCACTTCATCATGATTGAGTAGACACATTCTACCAAATGGCCTCCGATCCAAAAATATCCCACCTTAGTGACCCTTACCCCACAGGTTCCAGAACCAACCACACAGAACCTACTGGGAACATCCTTGGAATAAATTGTGCTTATAGCCCTGGGGCTTTGCCTTCTTTGCCCAATCAGCTGGAACCCAAGAGGGGACTGCTACAATTGCTTGCAAGTCTGAGGCATCACCTAACCACAGTGACGGTTTGGCTCTGGTCCATGCTAGCCTCGACAGCCAGTCCTTCTAGCTGAAGCTAAGGCATGAGGAGACAGGCTATCATTACAACTGGTTAAAAACACGTGTTGGGGCGCCTGGGTGGCTCAGTTGTTAAGCGTCTGCCTTCGGCTCAGGTCATGATCCCAGGGTCCTGGGATCGAGCCCCGTATCGGGCTCCCTGCTCCGCGGGAAGCCTGCTTCTCCCTCTCCCACTCCCCCTGCTTGTGTTCCCTCTCTCACTGTGTCTCTCTCTGTCAAATAAATAAAATCTTTAAAAAAAATAAAAATAAAAATAAAAACAACACGTGTACCAAAACAAAACAAAACTTTATTTACAATTGAAAAACAGAAAATCTTGGGTTCTGAATCTGTGACATTTCCAAGGTCTCTTGATCAAAAACGGGCGCAGCAGGCAGGGAAGCAAACACAGGGGCCAATCCGGATTATCTTACTCAAGAGTGCCACCCAGAACAAGGAAAGGCCTACAATGGCAGAGAGGTGGAGGTCTGTTAGGGATGGACGAGATAGCAGCTCAGAGGCACAGGAAGGGAACATTCCATGAGAGACAATACTCCCATCTCTTCTCTACACTCCTAATCCTCTTTTCCCAAAAGAGCAGAACTGGTCTGACTCTTGCCCTCAGTCAGACCTTTGGTTCCCTAGGATAAAGTTGAGAGGTATACTACACAAGAACCAAAAATAAAGAAACAAACATTTTATGGCCACACATATCATCTCATTTATTTGCCCTTCACAAACTCTGTGCAGTATATATTATCTGTAATCAAGCAAAAGAGGAAACTAGGGTCCCAAGGGGTTTAATGGTTTGATGGGGTTTCCTGGTCTACTTGGCTCCAAAGTCTGTGTGTTTTTGCCAGACCTCAATGGCTCTCTGTGGAGCTTTCTAGAACAAAGAGCAATCTTTCTTCCTTGCAGGTTTTGGTCCCAGTGTTACAGAGAAAGTAAAGTCCACACCCTTTGTTTATGGCCTTGGTCCTTAGCTTTACTAAAAGAACAGTGAGTACACTCAGAAATTACTCTGTCTCCCTCCCCCTAAACACGGCCACGCCCCTTTCCCTCCAAGGGAAAGCGCATCCCGGTGTCATACTGCAGATTCAGACAGAAGTTGAAATCTGGGCCCGCAAGCAGAATGCACAGAACTGCATAAATGCACTTTATAAGTTCCATGGTGCCCTAGGACCTAAGCTCTATCCTAGACCAGGCACTGTGTTAGTCAGCATGGTCCCTGCCTCAAGGAGTTCCGTCTACAGAAAACCAGGCCAACACATTTGTGATATGTTATGTTAGAGGCTATATAGAGAGATGAACCAAGTACTGTGGAAGCACCCAGGAAGGCACTGCTGGCTGCGCCTAGACCTGGGAGGAGACGGAGGGACCAGGGAGTGATTCAGACTGATGGTAGCCACGTGCTCCTGGGAGCAGCTGGGAGCAACTAGGATCAGTTAGAACTACGGATATACAGTATGTATTTCTATTATAAGATACATGCTCAATACAGAAAACTGAAGCATACACGGGACAACAGAAATGGGGAAAAAAGAAATTTTGCTGTCTCTACACTACACAAGTAACCATTACTAACAGTTGGCTGTATTTCACTACAGTAATTTCTGGAATAGTTAAATGTACTAAATCTTGACTTTGTCACTTAACGAACATAGCCTAGAAATCTGCCAACACATACAGATCTACCTTTTTTGTTTTTAAGGCTATGTGGTATTTCACCGACCCGCGTACCTCAATGTGTGTGAGACCTGATTACGACACTGGGAGCTCTGCCTTTGTACCGGAGTGGACTGGAATGAAGCCATTCTGCCCTCCCTCCCCTCCCTTTTTAGCTGGCAGGGCTTCTGCCTTTCAGGGCAGGGAACAACAGTGTCACACACCCAGCAGGCATGCAAATATTTGCTGCCAAATCTCTGGTGCTCCCTAGACCTGTGTTTTCATGTGGAACCTTTTCTCTTGCCTGGACTGCTGCACTGAACACCTCACTGGCCTCAGCTTCTCCTCCACATTGCTGCCAGAATCATCTCCGGAATAAGAAAATTCAATCACAGGGTTCTTCTGCTCAAAATCCTCCAGTGGCTCCTGTTGGCCTGGCTCTTTTCAGAGGGCCAGGCTAGGCTCCCTTCTGACAATCTCTGGAGTACGATGGACTCTCACCCCAGGGGGGACAAAATGTGCCTAGTGCCCAAAGCCCACTCTCAGGATAACATACGAGCATCTCAGCCTGCACTGGTTCTCACAACTGGCCCTGGCCTCCTCCAGCCTTACCATCTTACCCTTTGCTTTTCATACCTTCCTGCTTTGGCCATATGGCATGATGTGCAGTTTCCCTTACACTTGCAGCTGTTTCCTGCTTTTGTGCTTTTGCTCATGCTGTTCCCTCTGCCTGGAATGCCCTCCCGTTCTTAGCCACCTGAGAAGTTCTCTTCTTTCACGTACTCGGCCACAGCATCGTCTCTTCTGTAGTCTCCCCACACTGCTCCAGGCAGGCACAGGCGTTCCAGCTTTCCTTACTCCGTTCTGAACCTCCAGTCCAGTGCTTTATTGTGCTGTCATGGGCAGTTTCCCCCAGAGACTGTGAGTTCCCTGAAGGCAGGAACTGGGCTTTTCAAACTTGCAGCCTCCTATGTGGCAGGGGACCCATCTTATTACCTCAGTGCGTAACTGTGGAAGGAATGAAGGACCAGCCCGTGTGCCACCAACATAGCCCATTACCTTCCTCTACCGGAACATATCACATCTACGGGTAATCCCAGAATGGGGGACAGTGTTTCCTAAAGCTCAGTCATTCCCACAGCACCTTCCCCACTGTTCTAGCCACCACCCACAGGTACAATTAATTTTTAACCTAATCACCATTTGAACTTTAAGAATGCCTCACGGTAAAATGATGTGTTGCACTAATTACATATTTTTCCTAAGATGCAAATGCTAAAGGATCCTCATCACGCCACTACCTAGAGCAGCGTTACCCATCTGAGATGCTTGTTACAAACACAGCATCCCAGATCCTACCTCAAACTCACTCAACTCGAACTCTCCAGGGAAGGGATCTGGGAATTAGTAGCTTTAACAAAATGTCCCCCAGTGATTTGATTCTTTAGGGAAATTTGGGAAACAATGACAGAAGAAAGCGATCTACTGCTTGCTACAGGTACCACGTGTGGGGATAACTGGAAGAGCAGCGGTTCAGACTTAGCTGAAGTCACAGCCACTCCCTTTTCCAAGAGACTCTCAAGCTTTCCAAACAGAGGTTCCACCAGCCCCCAAGTGGTTGTAAGTAGCAAAGGACCTGATTCAGATTGCGGCAGGAGGATCCTGAGGGCCAAGGTTCACTTATGTATACCTAACCAAATTCATCATAAAAAGCTTTCACAGGACCCACTGAGATAAAACCATGGTTTCTACATCGAGAGTTGTACAGAGAACTTCATGTTCACTAAAACCAAAGTCAGGACCTAAGGCAAAACCAGAAGAAGTTCTAGAAATGCTTCCTAGGGAGGTAGAGCTGATCAAGTCACTGCGCTGTCTGCTATCTCCTTCCCAACTTCTTTGATTTCCAGTGCCTAGACACAAGGCCTCACATGCGCAATTAGGTGATATCTTGATTTGAATGCAGCAGATTCATGCTGGACAGTGCCACCAAGAGAGGATCTCCTTCTGGGTCTTTTCTGATTGGAATATGGTGGCTTCTCGATTAAAAAGCAGGCTTCTGTTATTCCACTATAGCCTTGCTACTCAAAGTTAGCATTAGCACCTCCTGAGTGCTGGTTACCAATGCAAAATCTCTGGCCCCATCCAGACCCACTGAGCCAGAACCAGCATTTTAATAAGCTCTCCTGGTGATTCATAAGTGCATTAATGTTTGAGAAATACTGCCCAGTAGGGTTTGAAAACAGCATCTATATTAGCTGTCAACCATTATCCTGCTCCAAACAACCTAAGGGATCTGAAACACTCCCACAGGAATTAGAGATGCTTATAACTTTACAACTGGGAAGAAAAATGATGGGATGTGCCCTGCTCCCCAAACTCCACTTTTCCTTACTTTCTCCCAAAGCACATTACTGAGAAACCCAAAGTGGAGCCCCTTTAGGTCAGACTGCCACCTAGATTCCCTAACACCTTAAAACTTATGATAAGGATTTTTGGTAAAGTTAAATGAGATAATTCAAGTTCTTAGCTCAATACTTGAGCACAAGAAGTATGCAATAAATGATAACTGCCATTATGATATTGCCTCTGAGTATTAGCTACGAAAGATTCAGTTCTGAGCAAGTCATGGGTAGGAAACTGAATTGGAGGTACTGCACTTATAGTTAATTAAAATTAAATAAAAAATTCAGTCCTTCAGTCACATCAGCCACATATTTCAAGTGCTCAACTGTCACATGTGGCTAGAGCTGCATGATGGACAGCATAGATACAGAACATTTCTAACATCACAGAAAGGAATTTCTATTGGACAGTTCTGGTCTAAGAAGCCTCTGGAACGTCAAATGGCCCTTGTGGAATTTGTTCCGCTTGGGCTGCAGGCTGAGAAGAGAGGCTTCCACGGGGGCAAAGGTTTACTTTGCCCTTTGCTAATAAGAGATGAGGAGGGGAGGGTTGTGATCACCAACCTCAGAATTTAAGCCCTCAACAAGGATTTCCACGAACTTTCTATAAGGGACTCAAAAAAATACAAAAAAGAAGGCCCAATTAAAAAATTGCTAAACACAGGGTGCCTGGGTGGCTCAGCTGTTAAGTGTCTGCCTTCGGCTCAGGTCATGATCCCGGGGTCCTGGGATCGAGCCCCGCATCGGGCTCCCCGCTCCGTAGGAAGCCTGCTTCTCCCTCTCCCACTCCCCCTGCTTGTGTTCCCTCTCTCGCTGTCTCTGTCAAATAAATAAAATCTTTAAAAAAAAAAAAAATTTCTAAACACTGTTCTTTCCATCTCTGTCCTCTGGTAGTGGTCAGTGGTCAATCCTTAGAAGGAAAAGGACCTAGTAGCTCAACTTAGGTTCAGCAAAGAAAGAAGTGGGAGAAGGAGGGAAACGCCAGCCACTACCAAAGAGGGAGAGCGGGCTGAGCCCTAGGGACCTCCAGTACTGGCAGAAAAGAAAGCTCAGGGTGTCAACCGTGCCTAGAAGGGACCACTTGGCTGGACAAGAGAGAGGACCACATGCAGCTTCTAGCACATACTTGTGCATGCCTGCCTCAGCATTTGCTCACACCAGTTCCCTGCCTAAAATGCCTGACATTCTCCCTCTCTATTAACTCATGTAATAAATTTTTAATGAATGCCTGTAAGTGCCAGATGCTATGAACACAAAATAAGTCACAGATAGAGGGATGTACAGTTATTAAAATGGTCTGGCATTTGACTAGATCGCCATTCAGAAAAAAAGTCAGAGAAAAGAAAAATAGATTCTAGGTAATTTTTAAAGTATATAAATAAAACCATAGAAATATTAGAAAAAATACAAAAGACATTATGATCTGAGATAGTAAGGACCTTCCTAAAACAAGACAAAAACCACAAAAGCCATAAGAGAAAAGACTGATAATTCTGACCTCATCAAAATTTAGAACTTCTGTTTAACAAAGGATATCACCAAAGTTAAGATAAGCAACACAATGCCAGTTTTGGCTTAAAATATGTTCTGGACAAAACAGTCACAACATTTAAAATAGAGAACTAAGATGCAGAATTTATAACTATTCAAATCATAAGAGAAGGGTAAAATAAGCTATATGCTACAAACATAGCATATTGTCAGTTTGTTTTTATATGAAGTAGTTTTATGTGATGGAAGAGGAAAAGTCTTCAAGACATCTGCCAAATGGAAAACAAATGAACAAAATAGTATGATGACATTTAGGAAAAACAAAACCTCCCAAAATAAGATAGGCATAGAAAAGGCCCTGATGGACATACATCAAACTGAAAGCAGTTACCTCCTGGGACAGAAGTGGGACTGGATGGGGAGGAGGGGTAATGACAAGGACCTGAACTGTTTTCTCAAGGTTGTATGTTACTTTTATAATTAAAATAAACAACCAAATAAAATATGTGAATGTTCATTGAATTTTTTTTTTTTTTTTTTTAGAGCTATTAAAGTTACTATGTGGACAGCTGGAGAAGTTGGAACATGTATATTAAATAATATTACTGTGGTCATGTAGGATGCTATTTTTAGGAGTTGTTTGCAGAAGTATTTAGGGGTAAAGTGTCAAGAAGTCTTCAACTTTCAAATGGGAAAGAAATGAAGGACAACGATGGACGGAATGAAGGTAGAAAGGAGGGAAAGAAGGGGAGCAGGAGAGAGGAGAGGGAATGGGAGGAGAAGGAAGAAGGGAAAGAAAAAACCAATGTCAAAGTAAAATGGTAACACAAGAATATTAACCATTGGTAAATCTGGGTGAAAGGGAGATGGGTGTTCAGTATACTATTCTGCTAACTTTTCTGCAGGTTTGAAAATTAAAAGAAGAAGGAAGGAAGGAAGGAAAGAAGGAAGGAAGGAAGGAAGGAAGGAAGGAAGGAAGGAAGGAAGGAAGGAAGGAAGGAAGGAAGGAAGGAAGGAAGGAAGAAAAGGTAAAACATCACCACCCCACACTAGCTGATCAATTTCTCCCTTGAACTCTGATCACACTTAGCAACGTCACTCAGGTTACTAGTGATCACCTCTGAGAATCTGTCTTACTCCCCATAAGCTCCTGAAAGAGGCATTTTTCAATTCTCTGTCACCCAGCACAGAGCAGGCAGTGGCGAGTGTGGGGAGGAAGTGGGCCCGTGCAGGCTGAGAAACGTGTTGCGTTCACTTATGAGGCTGTCAGATACAAAGTCAGGGCCTGGAAATGAGCATCACTTTTTTTTTTTTTAGATTTTATTTATTTATTTGAGAGAGAGAGAGAGCACAGAAGGAGAGGGCGAGGGAGAAGCAGACTCCTTACTGAGCAGGGATCCTGACTCAGGGCTTGACCGCAGGACCCTGGGATCATGACCTGAGCCGAAGGCAGACGCTTAACTGCCCCCCAGAAGCCCCGAGCATCAGTTCCAACAAGAGAGGCATGACAGCTGTGTCTCCTGGCTGCCCAGGCTGCTCCCAGCCCGGAGCCGCCCAGGAGTGGAGCCAGGTCCTTCCAGCAGGAGCACTGAATGGAAGGAACTACAGTCTGACAGTGATGTCAGAGACTGCCTACTGGTATTCAGGTTGATACTTTGTAGGCCACAAAGTGGTAGAAAAGTAAAATGCCCTAATAACCCTTTCTCTTCTGTTCCTTACAATGAGCCTGAGATAGCGACTGTCTCCATTTGACAGGTGAAGAAACAGGCTCAGAAAAGGGAAGTGATTTCCCCAAGGTCACATAGACAGGAAACAAGGCTCAATCCCATGTTTTCAAGTCTAAAGTTCCTTCCACTAGGCCATGCTGTCTTCACTGGGGTCTCCTAACCAGGAGGAGAAAGACACACATACCTGATCAGTCTTGCTCTGGACTACATCTCCCCACACTGTGAGATCACCACAGGCAGCTTGGGCTTATTGTTGGGGCCTGTGGGAACATTCTAGGAGAGAAAGCACAGTGGAGATTCATCCGCTCAGACACACACGCTCACCAAACACGTACTGATGCCTGTCAGCCCCTGTACTACAGACTGAGGACTCAGGGACTGAAATGCTAACAGTCCATGTCCTACCACAAGGGTAGAGAGAATCCAGATTGAAGAGAAAATGTCCAACATTTTAAAAAAAAGCAAACCTATGCTATAAAACAATGCAGTAAGTTATAACACTGAATTTACACAACAGGGCAGAGGAAGCACCCACTGCTTAAACAGGTCAAGAAGGATTCACACAGCAGGGGACATTTGAGCTGGGCCCACCAGGAGGAAAAGAAAGGAGAGGAGCATTCCAGTAGAGGAAAGAGCACAAGCAAACGCTCAGAGGCAGGAATGTGTATGGCATATTTATTTAGAGAAGAGCCAATAGCCTGACGAGACTGGAATCTGGAGGCAGCGGTGGCAGAAGGGGCTGTGGAGAGGCAGCGGGGACCAGGTCACAAAGGATCATGGATTCACTGCTGAGTAGGATTTTATCAAGTAGGTGAAGGGGCCACCAGAAGCCAAACCTCAGTGAGCATCAGAAAGGCAAACTTACAGGCCAAGAAAACGGGGAGGGGCGGGGGGCCACGGACTCCTCCCTCCTCCTGAGGGAGCCCATGTAACTGCAGGCCGTAAAGACTGGGCCTAACACACTCCTGCTACTAGACCAGAACGGCCAAGATAGAGGAAATCAAAACAGGACTCACCTCAATCTTTCGCATCACTAGAAGTCCATCAATGATTTTTCCTGTAGGAAAAGTATGAGCTAGACTTTATTATTCTCATTTGCATAGCAGTTTCCAGCTTCCACTCTTAGCCAGCATCTCATTTGATCCTCATACTACCAACAGAAAATTGAGATTTGATGGAAGTGAAATGATTTGCCCAAGGTCACAGGTAGGAAGGAGTGGAGTACTAGGTCTGGGCGATTGCAAAACCCTCCTGTACCGTGCTCCCTCTGTGTGGCATTTCTTAAGTGATACCATTCGGGTTTCCCTCCCAGACATACAGATCACCCAAGTGGTTACACACTACATCAGATAGCCCCTCAGTTCTTCCCTCTGGCGCTCTAACCACACGTCGTCCCCACCTCCTACCACTTCCACCTTCCCAGAGCAGTTACATTAGTCGAGCACTCTTGGGACTGGAGTCTGAGGACTGGCTCCTTTGGAAGTCCCACTGTGTGTGAATGGGGCCCGGAATCTGGGACAGGAAGAGGACTCACCAAACACTACGTGCTTCCCATCCAGCCAATCACATTTAGAGCAGGTGATGAAGAACTGGCAGCCATTTGTACTGGGACCACTGTTTGCCTGACAGAAACCAAGTATACCTTCAGTGAGTTTTCCTGGCCATGCTAGCTGAAGGGCAAGATTCCCAAAAGAGGGGCGCCTGGGTGGCTCAGTCGGTTAAGCATCTGCCTTCAGCTCAGGTCATGACCCCAGGATCCTGGGATCAAGCCGCACATTAGGGCTTCCTGTTCAGCTGAGAGCCTACTTCTCCCTCTGCCTGCCGCTCCCCCTGCTTGTGCACTCTCTCTACCTCTGACAAATAAATAAAATCTTAAAAAAAAAGGATTCCCAAAAGAGCCTGTAGCCCTGATTCCTTTCTTTCAGCAAACCTTACTGAATACCTACTATAAGCCAGATCCTAAGCTAGGATCCAAGGATATAGAGATAAACAGGATACATAATCACTGCCCTCAAGGAGCTAGATCTTTAAATGAATGTACAGTTCTCCTGCAGTGTGGATTTTTAAAATGGGAACAATTGTTCACAGGGACCGATCTGCTGTATTTAATCCAACGCTGGTTATACCTGGATTATAGTTACAAGTTAGATACCGTGAAGAAAAAGCCTGTTTCCTGTGCCAAAGCTCTTCTGTCTGAATAGCTCTGTACTGCTCCATAACAATGGTAAGAAAAGACTTCAAGAAGGTGTGAGAAGGAGCTACACTAGTGCCGTGCTAGAAACAGACTGCATTTAATCAATTGATGTTTGCTTTTTACAGCTACACCCCAAATCCTTTACTATCGAATTTTACAGGAAGAAGTAGTTTTTTAATTGAGAATCTGAAAGTCTCTAGCCATATCCCATCTCCTTCCTGGAAACTGTTTCTACATCATTGCATTTCACAACGCATTGTAAAATAGGCTATGATTATGATACTTTGTATCGTAATTTACAGTGACATTTTGATAAGAATTTTGAGATTTGAAGGAAGTAAAATGATTTGCCCAAGGTCACAGGTAGGGTATCTTGATATTGTATTTACAGTGATACTCTGTAAAGCGTTATTTGACTTTCTCATGAAGTGTACTTTTGTACTCTATATGTTGATACCCCAGAACTACCTTTAATATACTAAATTCAGGCTTTGGTACATCAACAAGTCCAAGTTACCTTTCAGTAGCACTGCCTTGTGACAGTGTCTGTCTCTGTGAACATTTTATTGCATACTTCCCTTATTTAGGAAAAAAGGAGTAGACAATGGGAAACTGAGAGTACTATTAAAAGCACAGGTCTCATACGATTAACATGACTGAAGCAGGACTGGAAATTATGAGATAGGTCGCGAGCGGTAATCGGACACTTCATGGATTTAAATTGGTTGATTCTGTGTTCAGCTGTGCAGGAATAAGTGTGTATGAAATACATTCACAACACTGTCCAGGGGAACGTGCCCATTACCTCCCTAGGGATTTTATGTTATACTTAGAAATGCCCCACGTAAGATAGGCTACTTTTGGGTTTCGTGCGTGTACTTATGAACATCTACATGAAATCAAGGGAATGGCTGAGCCAGTCAGAGGAGGCATATGCTGTGGAATGAGGGACAGACTTCCCAGGGCTCCCAATTCTTTGCTTCCTTCTTTTCACCAATCAATCAAGCATTCATTCAATCTACCTTGCTGCTGGTGTATGAACGTTTATTAGCAAGCAGGCAGGAGAATAGTCATATAAGTTTTTATAGCTTAAGGGACACTCTGCCCTCAGCCACTCATTTACTCATTCCCTCAGGCAGTACAGCTTACTGCTTTTGTGAGTAAGTTCTGGAGCCAGATGATGACCTCGCTGGAATCCCAGCTCTGCCACAGACCGTGGGACCTTAGTTTAGTCACATAACCTCTCTAGGCCTCAGTATGCTCATTTGTACCTATCTCAAAAGGATGCTGAAAGGATTAAAATGAATTAACGCAAATATGATGTTTGTTGAGCAACTGGCCAATAAATGTTAGCTATCATATCATCTTTCGGTCGTTCATCGGTATCTGCTCCGCGCCTCATTCTGTATCAGGTAGTAGGGCTTGGAGACCACTGAGGCCCAGTCTCTGCCCTTGAGGAACTTAAGATTTAGGGGAGGATGAAAACAGAAACAATTGTGCCATATGATCTGTGATTGTACAACTTCACCAGTGTCAGCCTGAGGGAGCACAAACCAACGTTTCCTTCCATTTTTCTGACTCCTCCATTGATGGCGTGACCCTAGAAGGTCCTAGCCCTCCTGGCGAAGATCCAAGCCCACCTAAGCTACGCCTGCAACATTTACCTGCACTTGCCCAGCCTGGCTTTCTGAAAAGGGAGCTTGCACACTGTTTGCTGGGCAGGTCTCGCCCAATTCTCAGGGCAGCCTCCTAACTGGCTTCTCTGTCCCCACCTCTGTTCCCATCTGCCACTCACACCACAGCCAGGGGCTTGGCTCTAAATCACAAAGTTGATCAACCCTGCTCAAAAAAGCATACGGCTCTCCATAACCTATCAAAGAAAGTCCACACACTTCGTCCTTATTCTGGCATTTGAAGCCCTTAAGGGGCTAGACCCCAGCTTCCTCTCCAGTGTCTCTACTGGCCCTTCCCTCCCCCATTCACATCCTATGTGCTCATCCTTCCTCACCTTCTAACCCTCGACCATGCGCCCTGCTATTTGGCGCCACCCCCCTCTGTGAAGCCATGCCTGACCCCTCAAAGTAATGACTCTCGTTCTGTGGGGCCCTCCCAGCACTTTTACATACCCTGAGGGGCCCTCACCTTAATAGATGGTGGTGGGAACTACACTATGCTGGGCTTGTCAGTTTGCATGTGTGATTCCCCCATGAGATGTTAAGTGTCACAAGGGCAGGTATCAGGTCTATACCTTGTACCCTACCCTGAGGCCTGAGACAGACAGAAGGGTGCCGGGGGAATCCTGGGGGGTGGGGTGCCAAGCACAGGGACTCTGGGTCCTGAAAGCACAACTGGCCACGCTCTGAGCAGCAGGGCTGGATGCTGAGCCACGTATCCCAGCTCAAACAAAGGTACGAAAACATATGTTAGAGTTCAGTTGTGGCCCCCCAGACTGCTAGAGGTTCCAGCCCAACAAAATCAAAACTAATTGAGGAAGGAGGTGGGTGTGGCAGCGCGGAGTCCTGGGATAAACAAGAGAAGTCAAGAATTTGCTTCCATCCTAAGAGACAGCACCGGGCCTCAAGAGGGGCCCAGACACCTGCTGGATAAAAATCTAACCCAAAACTTTGACTGGACCTTACTTACCATGGAAAGCAGGCCTGGAGCTGAGTGTCTCAGTTTAAAATTTTCATCTGCAAATGGCCCCCGGTAAATACTGGCAACTCCAGTACCATCTCCCTGAGCAGAGAAAAAGGAAGTGTTAGCAAGTTTTGAGTGTTGCTCCCCACCCTTCGTGCCCCCCCGGAACCCAGAGGAGGAATGCTGCTGCACCACAGCCAAGTTTTCTAAGTTGCACTCTTCCTCTTGAAGATCACTTTGCGAGTCACACCTCTTGGACCCTATCTTACAATCAAAGCCAGCCCCATCCAAGGCACCTGCAGCCCATATACTGACCAGGGCATCGCACAGATTGGGTAAAACAGGTCACAGCTGGGCCTCTAGAAAGCTCAGTTAAGACGCAGGCAGAGTAGGGAACAATAGTACAATGATCACATACATAATCCTTGCCACACCCAAAGACTCTCATGCCTGCAGTCATATAAAATTATCCACTTAACTGACCACTATCCCCACTCCCCCAAGCTATGCAGGTGGATGGGCTCCTGCAAGCCTCGTCTGTACAGATCCCACCCTCCTGACCAAAGCTGACTGGTCCAGGGGAAGATGCCCAGCTAATACAAGGCCAACTAAAGCTCCTTCTCTGGGAATTGTGAAGGAGGACTGATGCTCTTTGAGGTTGAATTTATTATGTGAGCCTGGAAGCTGGGTGACCATCCTCTGCAAAGTGGACTGGAGAACAGAAAGAGAAGGCAACACACAGAGCACTGAAGAAACAGAAAAAAAAGGACTGCCTTGGTTTTATGTGGCTTTCCAGTTCCTACCTCTGTTTCTTCCTTTGGGTTTCATGAAACACCTTATCATAAATCCCTAATTTCTGCTTAAAGTAGCTTTATTAGCATTATCTCTCCTCTCTTCCAGTAACCACATCGAATAAGCACTATCGTCTTCCTCATTGTTCAGATGAGCCAACTTAAGTCAGGATAATAAAGCAACTTGGCCAAAGCCATATTTGCAGTATCTTAAACAGAATTCCTGAGAGGGTGCCAAAAGACCAACTTCTTCCAGCCAGTTAGTAAAGAAGAAGAATATTGGGTGCATGGCAGAAAGGGAAAGCACTGACGTAGGGAAGAATCAAGGGGCCCTTATTGGGGCAAAGACTACCAAAGGGGATTAACATAAGCCAGACAAGGAAAAAAACTGTCAAAATCAAACCTTTATTTGATTAAAAATTAATAAAACCAAGCTCTGTGTAGTGGAAAGATTTGGATGTGAGTTCTGGATCAATCCTTTATGAGCTGGGAAAGTCACTTCGTACCACTGAGCCTCACTTCTTCCAGCTATCAAGTGAAGATGAAATCACCTGCTCTTTACACTGCTGCCGTGAAGATCCAATTAGAAAAGACCTTGCAGCTGATATAGCACTATATAGATGTGAGCTATTATCTTTAACTACACACAAATACCTATGTACATACAGAAAGAAGAGAAAAACAAGTTCACTTCCAATTTCCCAATAAACCTGGGGGACAGATCACTTCTCGCATCTTACCCTATAATTACATTATTTATTGCTCTCCAGGAGCCAGGGAAAATGACAAAATTAATTTTCAGAGCGAACAACAGAAAGCGACTTAAAAATTAAATGAATAGGGGCACCTGGGTGGCTCAGTCGGTTAAGCATCTGCCCTCAGCTCAAGTCATGATACCAGGGTCCTGGGATCAAGCCCCACATTGGGCTCGCTGCTCAGCGGGGAGCCTGCTTCTCCCTCTCTCTGCCACTCCACCTGCTTGTGCTCTCTCTCTCAAATAAATAAAATCTTCAAATAAATATCAAATGAATAAATAAATATTAAAAAAAGAAAGCAACTTAAATCTTTAACAATAGTGGACTGATCAAATAAATTTGTTATCTATTCGTAAAGGAATATTACGTAGTTATTATAATGACTTCATGACAAGGGAAAATGTAGACAATTATTAAGTATAAAGAATTACAACATATACATGATCTTAAGTCTGTTAAAAATTATGTCTGACACACATCCATATGCAATAAGAATAACAGCTCTAAACTAAAATGCCAAGATACATTCCTTAACAAGCAAGATTCCTTGAGATGACTTTTCTTTTTTGCACCTTTGCAACCAAAAAAAAATTATTAAAACAAACACATATTCTTGGTCCAACTTCAGAAGGTCTCAAATCCTACTTCTTCTGCTTCTTGCTCATTTCATTTTTTCTTTCCTAAGAGTGGCTCTGAACAATTGTTTCTTGCTGACATTCAGCCTTCTGGCTGACCAACTATGCTGTCTGACCCTGGAGCTATCGACAAGTGACTGCATGGGCCTGGCAATGACCAGTAAGAAGTTGGTCCTGTCCCTGTTAAGACAATATGGCAATACAAGAGCCTATGGAAAGAAAGAGAATAGATTCTTAGCCCTCCTTACTAGCTAATACAAAGTATATGGTCGCCCAAGCCCTACTACCATCAGGTGTAGCCCGGGGTTGCAAACTTAAATGCCTACAGGGACAAGTGACATAAATAAGGGAAGCAGATGATAGTGACTGAGGTGAAATGGCAAGGACAGACCCTGTTTAAAGGGAGCAGTTACTTGATTCCAAACCACTGTTGCTACATGAAACACAGGCCTAGTGCACCCCTATTTTCCATTCTTTAAAGAGAATACAAAACTCGGGAATTTTCTGGTGAAATGTCCTAGTTTTACAACATAACACATGAAACAAAGCCTATCTGAAAGCCTGGTTCAACCTAAAATCTGCCACTTTGTAACCTTATCTAGACAGGAAATATAGGTCTTTAAAAACTCCCAAGAGTTAAACTAAATAAATATACACATGAAGGAGAAAGAATGTCTCCCAGATTCAAGAAAATAGCAATATGACTAAACAAATGATATTAGTAAGAAAAACCACCATGCACATGCACACAAGTGGTTGGCTAAGGACAAAAGTAGGTTTAAGAAGATATGGTTTATTCAAGCACCCTCCAAGGTCAGAGGAAGGGGAAGAGGCTTGGTATGAAAGACACATACAGTCTAGTCACAAAAAAGTTATGCTTCACAGTGAAGAACTATTCTCCTAGGCTCTGCTAGTAAATAGAGAAAACATCACTCCAGAATGATCTACCTCTGTTGCTCTGATTCTTTGCCCACTAATCGATTTTCGATGAAAAAACTCAGCTTTCCAGGCACTGTGATACCAGAGGTGGAAGGGAATTAGAGTATAAGCACTAAGCTCACTGAAAAAGGACTTACTGCCATTTAGAAAAAAAAAAAAATCGCATCTGATTTCTATCCAAGTTTCATGTGACTAACTAGTTTGTATCTCTCATGGATCATGTAGAGGTATGCTGGGAAAGTTCGGTTTCTGGCCCTAAAAGGCTAGGGGATTTGGAAGTCAGTGACTCAAAGTGCTGATGTCTGTCATCTAGTGGTATAAAAAGAAGTAAGACAGCAACACTAAAGGACATTCCTATCACCCTCCTCCCCCATCAAACTTGGCTATTGTTTCAAGCCTTAGGACTGGGCCCTGTAGTAGAAATAGTAGTAGCAGCAATAACAAAAAACAATATTCCTATAGGGCTTTGATAGCAAAGAAATAGTACTTACATTAACAAAATCCCCACCCTGAATCATGAAATCCTTTATGACCCTGAAACAGAGAATAAAGGATCCTGAGAGAAGATTGTCGTTTAGAAAAACATTGATTTAGTCATACTTTAGATTAACATTGATTTAAAAATAAAATGTTTATCACTTTGGCTTTTAATAAGCCTTCAAATCAATTGCTGAGTTCACAAAAACATTCCTTCTCGAGATCTAGGAATTATGCTATGGTTTTATTTCCCTCTAAAGAGATGAATCCCCCAAGGAAGTAATTCTAAAAGCCTGCAGGATGCTTGCCAAGGCCTTACCTGTGGAAGGTGCTCCCTTTGTATCCTATCGGAACCCCATCTTTTCTATAACAAAAAGAAAGAAACTTGGAATGATGACAGGTAATCATGGGCCTGTCCAGTTTACCACCCACGGGAGCCAAGGTACTCTCCTAAAGATGGTCGGAAGAAGTCTATTACTGTCACCAGCAATCATTCAAGTCCTGCCGGTGGTTCCCCAAAACCCCACTGCAGCCCCAGGACACCATTCAAGAGCAAGCAGAGAAATCAACCACGTCTGAGACTGACCTGAATTCTCCGGTGCAGAACTGCCTGAAAGGGAAATGAGTGAACGATTCAGTCACCATGACATCACAGCTGACGGCGCCCTTAATGGGGTGGGGATGGGGGGAGCAGAGACATTCGCGCCAGCAAGCCCACCAACGGGCCAGCCGACGTCCAGACACCTAAGCATACAAATTAACAACAAAATTGACACGGGAAAAGTAGAAACGCTGACTATTCAGAACGCTACAGAGAGGACTCCGATCTCAAGGGTAGCGAGTGGACGGATAGAGGGAGGCAGAGGATAACGCGTACCGGGTCCAGCTTCTGGTTCGGTTAATCTAGCAGAGCTGGAACATCTCCTTACCTAAAATTCTCGGCCGTCTTAGGCACAACGTCCGCAAAGAGCTCGATCTTCATGCGGCCAACCTCCTGCAAGCGGCGGGAGACTGTCAGAATACCCGGTCCAAGACCATGAAGGCCTCAGCGAGCAGGGAACTGGAGGGGCTGACCCCTCTCTCCCCCTTGCCACCTCCGCAGCCTCTCCTTCCGTGCCGCCCAGTCCCTCCCCCTGCGGGGCGCTAGGATGGGCAAGACTCCTCCTCCTCCTCCCGTGCCCCCGCCCGCAGGTCGGTAGGTTCTGGTCCAGTTTCGTTTCCTGGATTCTCGAGTCCGCTATCCCTGGGTGGGTGAGATCTTCCCGGCTGGCCCCGTGCAGTGTCCCTTCGGCGCAGTGGCTGCCTGGACCTCACCTGGCCGCCAATGCTAACATCAAAGAACACCACGGGATTGACAGGGCTTGAATTTGCCACCGCCATGGCTCCGACCCGGAAGCAGAAGACGGAGGCATGGGTTCCGGCAAACCTCATCCCCGCTTGGCGGGTTTACTCTACGGCGCAGGCGCAAAAAGAGTCAACCGAGGCCAGGCCCCGCCCCCCGGAAGTCGCGCCCCGCCCCGGCGGCCAAGGTCCCTCGGCCTGCGGCACCCAAACTGGGCGTTGCGGCAGTAGGCGGGGCCAGGACCTCTGAGCCCGCATATGTGCGGTTTCTTATCCCTGCACGTTAGTCTGTGAACCCAACGAAGGCAGGAATCTGTTCATCCTCAGCGCTTAGAACAGCCTGGCATATGTAGCCCTTCAGTTAAGTCAGGACACCAGAATTTTAGTTCTAGTTCTGCCACAAGCTTTCACTCTTGTCACTTACAATTCATTCGTGCTGCTAGCAGAGCAGCTAGAGCTTTTTAAATAAATGTTTATAAATCATTCCTGGCTTCGCATATTTAGAATAAGATCCAATTCCTTATATACAAAGGCCTACATTACATTATCTGGCCGCGCATACCTGGCCTCATCTTGTATCACCCTCAATTATGATACTTGTCTTTTCTGTCCCTCAAGGTCATGGAGAAGGATACTCTCTTCATAGAGTCTTGGTACTAGCTGTTAACTGTCTTTAACATTCTTCTAGGTCTTAATGAAGGCAGGGAGTACTCCTTGTAGCTCAGGTCTCAGCTCAGCGGTCACTCAACCTAAAGCAGCCCATGGCCACTCTTTCAGATGCATCACTAGTTTATTTTCCTCATGCGATTCACCATCCAAAATTATATGGTCTGTCTCCCCACCTCTGTGTCCCTGTCGCACACACATGGCTACCCTCCAACCTAATAGCATATTAACTCCAGGAAAGCAGAAGCTGTCTGTCTTCACAGGTGTACTCTAATGCCTACTATTGAATAGCCCATAGTAGGGATTCAATAGTGAAAGAAGGTGACCTGGGGCAAGGTTTGGAGTCAGAGCATATATCTGATATCATAGCTATTATGTCCTATATCCTTTGATCATCCTTTCTAGGTCAGTCACCTGAGGAAGCAAGGGTTACATATAAAAATTCAATGTTTCAACTTAAGGTGTCTTTATTTTTAGTTACTTTTCCTTTCCCCTTGGTCTCCTTCTCTATCTCCAATTGAAGAATAAAAAAGAAGAGGAGAATAAGGATGGGAAGAAAGAACAGCAGGAATCACCCCTCAGTATAGTTTATAGCAACTATTTTAAAATAAATTTTTTAAATTGGTAATATCCAATGTTGATGAGGTTGTGGAAAAACTAGTACAAAGTGCTGATGAAAATAAATGATGATTCCACGGGAAGCCTGTTTCTCCCTCTCCTACTCCCCATGCTTGTGTTCCCTCTCTCGCTGTGTCTCTCTGTCAAATAAGTAAATACAATCTTTAAAAAAAAAAGAAAAGAAAAGAAATGATGATACCTAGCTTTTGTTAAGCAGCTACTAAGTTCTAAATACACATTTCATTTCATTTGGTCCTCACAACTCTATGGGACAGATCTATGGGACAGGAACGACTACTGTTCCCATTTTATGGACCAAGAAATTGAGGCTTAAAGAGGTTGACTATAGGGGCGCCTGGGTGACTCAGTTGGTTAAGCATCCCACTCGATCTCAGCTCAGGTCTTGATCTCAGTGTCATGAATTCAAGCCCCACATTGGGTTCCATGCTGGGTGTGGAGACTACTTAATTTAAAAAAAAAGGGGGAAAAGAAAAGAAAAAAATAAAGAGGTTCACTATAGAAACATTATGTTGACACAACTTTTTTTTTTAAAGCAACACAACAAGTGATATACCAAAACTATATAACATTTGTATTTCTGACCCAATTATGCCAATCTTTTCTGGAGTAACTCAAGAGAAAAAAAGAGCTAATTCACAAAGACTTTCACCACAGCATAACCTCAAATAGTGAAAAAGTAGAAACAACTTAAATGCAAACGAGAGAATTTATAGAACATCAACATGATAGAATATTATGTGGCTACTGAAAGAATAATTATGAAGACTATTGAAATACAGAAAAATGTTCTATGGTATACCAAACTAAAAATCAGGCTGTGAAAATGAACACACAATATAACAACCACTTAAAAGTATATGCATTTGAATAAGAACCAAAAAGGAATAAATGAAAATAGTTGTCTTGAGAATGCAGGATTATAGATTTCTTTTTCTTTTTTAAAGTACTCGCTTTAATACAATTACATTGTTTTTACTTTTAAAAAATAAATAATACCCATGATAATAGGGGGAAAGTGCTGAATTAGATATATATGTGCTCTGCTGAAAAGACCCCTAATTAAACCATTGAACTTAAGTCACTATTACTGATCAATACAAGGATATTTGAGGATATCAAACAAACTTGAGAAATCCATTTTTAAAACTGGTTTAATGAATTTATCAGCAATTCTGAAGACTCCTGGTTGACGTCCAATGAGGATCCATGGTAGGTAACTCTTCTCCATGTCATGTTCTACCCTCACGCCCAAGCTTTAAGTTAGCAGCTTTGATCCATCTAGTCTTAGCCATCAGTGATTTTATAGTTCTGACTTTTGGTCTTGTTCTTGGATACAGTGTGTCTCTTTCAGAAAAGCCACGCTCATGTATCCAGCTTCAGAATTCTGTGAACACGAAAGAGACTCGGGAGACTTGGGGTTTGCCGTTGCTGCTTCTGATATATGTTCTTTAATCTCTTGAAGACTTCCAACCGACTCTACCAAACCTGTTCCTGAAAAACTAAGAATGGCCATACGTGAGGACTTTTTGAAAACAGGATCTCTTGGTAGCACTTTGGGGTTACAGGGATAAAGTATTAATAGGATTTCAGTTTTTTACAACTGTCAAACACAAAGGAAATCAAATAACATTTAGCTTAAATTTATGTTTATGGATTACTTTCTACTTTAGTCAAGATTCTGTCAGGTGCTGGGGCGCCTGGGTGGCTCAGTTGGTTAAGCAGCTGCCTTCGGCTCAGGTCATGATCCTGGAGTCCCTCGATCGAGTCCCACATCAGGCTCCCTGCTCAGCGGGGAGTTTGCTTCTCCCTCTGACCCTCCCCCCTCTCATGTGCTCTCTCTCATTCTCTCTCTCTCAAATAAATAAATAAATAAAAATCTTAAAAAAAAAAAAGATTCTGTCAGGTGTGGGGATGAAGAGGTGGAAAGAGAGAAGGGATTGGGAAAAGATTCAAATACTAAATATAGAAACATGACTCCCAAATGCTATGCTTTGTCAAGCCAGCAACTCAGGATGAGTTAGGCAGCCATGACTCTCAGGCTTGCAGTTGATTGTCTTGACTTTACTAACCTGGGGTTTGGTAAGGGCAAGATTTTATTCAATGATTCCAATTCAGCGATGTTTGTCTCCTGAAAGAAAAGAAAGGATGAATATTTAAAATTATAATTATAAGCCATTGGCAATATGATCCTAAAACATGTGCTTTATATATATTTTTGGTTAAAAATTTAATCCCTTCCCCTCCTACTTGCTAGAATGGCCATCCTAAAAAAGACAAGAGATAACAAATGCTGGCGAGGATGTGGAGAAAAGGGAGCCCTTGTGCACTGTTGATGGGCATGTACATTGGTACAGCCACTGTGGAAAACAGTATGGAGGTTCCTCAAAAAATTAAAAAAAGAAATACCATATGATCCAACAATTCCACTTTTGGATATCTGGAGAAAATGAAATTACTGTCTGAAGATATCTGCACCCCACCCCATGTTCATAGCAGCATGATCTTACGTATACGTACAATCTAAAAAAAAACAAAAAACAAACTCATAGAAGCAGAGATCAGATTTGTGGTTGCTAGAGGTGGGGGTGTGGTGGATGGAGGAATTAGGTGAAGGTGATCAAAAGGTACAAATTTCCAGTTGTAAGATAAATTCTGGGGATGTAATGTACAACATGAAGACTACAGTTAACAATACTGTACTGTATATTTGAACGTTGCTAAGACAGATCTTAAAGGTTCTCATTGTCAGGAAAAAAATCATAACTATGTGAGGTGATAGATGTTTTTTTTTTTTTTTTTTTTTAAGATTTTATTTATTTATTTGAGACAGAGAGAATGAGAGACAGAGAGCATGAGAGGGAGGAGGGTCAGAGGGAGAAGCAGACTCCCTGCCGAGCAGGGAGCCCGATGCGGGACTCGATCCCGGGACTCCAGGATCATGACCTGAGCCGAAGGCAGTCGCTTAACCAACTGAGCCACCCAGGCGCCCCTGTGAGGTGATAGATGTTAACTAACCTTATCGTGATAATCATTTTGCATTGTATATCTATATCAAATCATTGTTATACAAAATAAAAGTTATACTTTTTAACTTACACAATGCATGTTGTATGTCAATTACATCTCAATAAAACTGAAAAAAATGTAATCCCTAAATACCTATAGAATATCTGGTAATTATAAATCTTATACTTTTATATTAACACGTTCATTGTAAGCCTGCTTATTATATCTATTTTCCTACATGAATTACCTCATATTAGCTGATATAATCATTCTGTTCTACTAGGTAAGTTTTTACTTACTACTCTGGTAAACATTTTCTGTCCCTTTAAATCATGAAAAAAAGTATCTGTTTTTTTGTAAAATTTATGACTTTAAAAACCAAATACCCTTTCTCACACAAACCCATCAACACAGACCAAATTTTACATATAATTATGAGGGTTTACTGATTCCCCTAAACTTGGACCTCTGTTTAACCTTTGATACAGGCCAACTCGTTTCTGTGAGAAATTCTTAGTTATCCTGAAATAAATGAGAAGCTTCTATAAGGAGGAAAAAACTAGCATTCAGAGAAATTTATGTGTTAAAAATATTACTAGACTAAGCGGGGGAAATCGGAGGGGTAGATGAACCATGAGAGACGATGGACTCTGAAAAACAAACAGGGTTCTAGAGGGGAGGGGGGTGGGAGGATGGGTTAGCCTGGTGGTGGGTATTGAGGAGGGCACATTCTGCATGGAGCACTGGGTGTTATGCACAAACAATGAATCATGGAACACTTCATCTAAAACTAATGATGTAATGTATGGGGATTAACATAAGAATAAAAAAAAAGTAAAAAAAAAATATTACTAGACTAGGAGTTAGGAGAGCAAGGCTTGAATTCTGGCTCTGCTAGTTAGACTCTGATATGTCCCGTTACCTCCCTGAGTTTTGTTTCCTACATTTAAAATGTGAGAATAACAATTAATCACTAATCTTTCAGGGTTATTGTGAAAATTAATTAACATAAGCATACCTAACATATGGGAGGAACTCAATAAATGTTCGATATAGAAACAAATGTATGTGTATTTACTGAGAAAAAGAAGCTGTATTTAGGGCGCCTGGGTGGCTCAGTTGGTTAAGCGACTGCCTTCGGCTCAGGTCATGATCCTGGAGTCCCGGGATCGAGTCCCGCATCGGGCTCCCTGCTCAGCGGGGAGTCTGCTTCTCCCTCTGACCCTCCTCCCTCTCCTGCTCTCTGTCTCTCATTCTCTCTCTCAAATAAATAAATAAAATCTTTAAAGAAAAAAAAAAAAAAGAAGCTGTATTTATTAAATGCCATTTATTTGCCAAGCAATACACTACGTATTTTATATGAATTATTCTAATTATTCTACTTTATCTCCAGTAGCCATCTCTGAATTCATTCATTCATTCATTCATTCATTCATTCATTCTTATAATAGCTTTATGGAGAAATAATTCACACACTATACAATTCAGGCATTTAAAGTGCACAATTTGGGGTGCCTGGGTGGCTCAGTTGGTTAAGCATTTGACTCTTGGTTTTGGCTCATGTTGTGATCTCAAGGTCATGGGATCAAGCCCCACGTCAGACTCCACTGTGGAGTCTGCTTGTCTCTCTCACTCTGCTCTACCTCCCACTTCCGCTTTCTCTCTCTCTCTCAAATAAATAAATAAAAATAAAGCACACAATTCAACAGTTTTTAGTATATTCACAGGGTTGTACAACTATTATTACAATAAATTTTAGAATATCTTCATCACCCCCAATATAAACCTAATACCCTTTAACTACAGCCCCCATCCCTCAATGCCTCAGCCCTAGGCAACCACTCATCTACTTCTATGTTTATATATTTGCCTATTCTCGACATTTTATATAAATGGAATCATATAATACATGGTGACTGGATTTTTTTCATTTAACATAATATCCTTAAAGTTCATCTGCATTATAACATGGATCAATACTTCATTACTTTTTACGGTTGAATGGTATTCTGTTGTATGGATGGATATACCACACTTTATTTATCCATTCATCAGTTGATAGACATTTGGGTTGTTTACACCTCTTGGCTATTATCAGTAATGCTGCTATAAATATTCATATACAGATTTTGGTGTGGAACAGCCACCTTTTGAGTGTTATTATTTCCTTTTCCCAGATGAAGGAACTAGAAGGTGAATGAGGTTTCCTTCTTTCACCCACAACTAGTAAAATGCTGAGCTGGGATTTGGGACGTAAGGTGCAGCGAGAAAACCTATCAAGGACACAAAGCCGTATTTGGAGAGCGGAGGATTCAGAAAAAGCTTTATGGAAGAGAAGATATTTAGGTTGAATTATGAGGGACAGTAGAAACTAACCAAAAAAAAAAAAAAAATAAATCTGGGGCAGGAAAGTCATGGGAGAAGGCAGTGGAGGGAGAGGGATTTCCTAGAAGAGCCCAAAGAAGACTATGGTAAGTCATTGTATGGCTTTGGGTCATATGGTCAGATTATATTTTGTGAAGACCCCTCCGGCTATAGACTAACGGAACAATAGGATTTCAAAAGACAAAGCCCGGAAGATGAGAGAAGGAAGGAAGATGGGATGTGTCTTTCCAAGTAAGGGAAATACATAACCAGAGGGAGGAAAGCAGAGCTTTGGGGGAAACAGTAAACAGATTGGCTTCATTTGATCAGACTTGTTTGATGTCAGAAAGTTATTTGGATTATGGGGAGTTCCCATGTGGCTTCAATTCCTCTGGACTAGACGTCAACCCTGGAAACCTTCCCTAACCACCCAGACAGGTTTAGATGCCACTCCGCCTGCTTTCACAGCATTCTGGGCCTACCGCTATTGCAGAACTCATCACGGCGTATGGTAGTCACTCTCATCAGAGCTGAGTTCTGTGAGGGCAGACACTGTATCTTGTACATCACCATATCCAAACCACAAGGGGGGACAGTATGAGGCCTGGCACCCTGTATATGCCTAATAAATAGCTGTTGAATGAATGAACTCTATCTGATAGACAAAGCAAGTCTCTGAAACTCTGTGAGATGAAGTACTATGAAGGCAAGCAGGGCTTCATGAGGATTAGTCTCGAGGCATGCATGGGGCAGATTAGGAGGAAAGACTGAAAGGAGATGAGTTAAGTTGTTGCTATAACCCAGGTACTAAGTGCTTGGGATGCAGAGGGTAACACAACAGACATAGTTCCTGCTCTCATGGAGTTTATAATCCAACAGGGAGGAAAGATGGGATTACAACACAGGAAGCAACATGGTCTCTTACAAAGCTATGTCCCTGGTTACCCCCATACCCCAAAAGGGAAACAGTAGACTTGGGGTATTCAAACAGTAGACTTAGTGGCTAAGAACAAGGTACCAGACAGAGTTTATTTCAGACCCTGTTCTGCTTATTGGCGATATGTCTTGGGCAATGATGTCACTTCACCTCTCTAGAGCTCAGTTTCCTCAGCTGTGAAAATGGCAAGGTTATTTTGTGGATTAAATGAGATAATGTACATAAAATGCTTACCACAGTACCAGGCGCGTAGCAAGCACTCAACAAATGTCAAGCTCTCACCATTTTAGCCTCTGAGGTGTTGCAAGGAAGGAGGAGATCTAGGATATGTCTGATCTCAGGGATCTATAAACTGATCCGTTTGTAGTACGATACTCAATCACTGAGAATCAAGAGATGTGGGAAATGTCAGCAGTAGCTGCGCGACTCAAGCATACCATTTAACCTCTCTTGAGTTTTATCTCCCTCCTGTATAAAATGAGGGGATTGAATTGGAAGATCCTTAAGATTCTAAGTTTAAAAACAATTTGGAGTTGTTTTAACAGGTATGAAGATGTTACAAGTTGGTACTTTTGTGACACATGAAATGTGGAGCTTGAGGTACTATAGTCCTGACCCCTGTCACATTTCTTATCTTGTTTGAGGATAATGTTGTGGATCTCAAAGCTATCGGGTCTAATATATACTCCATTAAGGCTCTAACTCAGCACCTATAATACTATAGTGCTTGTTCATGTATGTCTCTGTCCTTCTCTACTAGACTAAAGACTTCCAGAAACAGGGTCTATCTTCATATTCCTAGGACTTAGCATAGTTTCCTGAATTGATAAATGTTTGTTGAATGAATAAGTAGAATAGTGAATGACTAGACAGCTGAGAACAATTGTAGTTCAAGCAAAAACATAAACTATTGGAAATTAAGCCACATAATCTGGCAGTTCTACTTTGGACAAAATCTACAAAACAACTCATATAGTTTGGAAATAATCATTTCTTTCTTTCTTTCTTTCTCTCTCTCTCTCTTTCTTTCTTTCTTTCTAAGATTTTATTTATTTATTTGACAGAGAGATAGAGAGAGAGCACAAGTGGGCAGAGCAGCAGGCAGAGGGAGAGGGAGAAGCACACTCCCCACTGAGCAGGGAGCCCGGTGCAGGGCTCGATCCCAGGACCCTGGGATCATGACCTGAGCCGAAGGCAGACGCTTAACCGACTGAGCCACCCAGGGACCCCTCACCTTTCTTTTTTTTTTTTTTTTTAAAGATTTTATTTATTTATTTGAGAGAGAAAAGTGTGTGCATGAGTTGGGGGAAGGGCAGAGTGAGAGGGTGAGAAAGAATCCTAAGCAGATTCTGTGCTGAGTGCAGAGCCCAACACAGGGCTTGATCCCAGAACCCCGAGACCATGACCTGAGCGGAAATCAAGAGTTGGACACCCGACTGACTGAGCCACCCAGGCACTCCAGAAGTAATCACCTTTCTGAGAGCAAACCAGATGTGGGTCTTATGTTCACAGCAATAGTACCCAATAAGGAGGATCTACATGAAGTATCCTGGAAGGAAACATCTAGCAGGTGATACAAGCCAGGGGAGAAAGCAAGAAGCCTCTGTCTTGGATTCAGAATGCACCTCTGATCACTGAAGTCCCTCTCGCTGACACATTCACCAGCCAGACTCTGGACCTTCTCTGAATCTATACTATTTGCCACATCTATCTAAACTTGGCTACTTGTCTGCTTGGATTTTTGTAACTTAATTGCTTTTTCTCTCTTTTGTTCTTGACTCTTTGTTCTTAGGCTTGACCCCATGCCAGACCAGACTATCTTCATTTATGTCTTTGAGCCTCAGATTTGTTCATTTCTCAGACAGGGCTAGAATAATTCATGGCAAACAGGGTTGAGAATGAGGTATACATGTGAAAGCATTTAATATTCATTCTCAAATGTTTATGGAGCACCTGTCTGTAAATAAAATGACATATGAAATACAAGCCTTGCCCTCCAGGATCTCACTGCTGAGTTGAGATAGAGAAGCAAAAAGACAATGGTGATACAGTGTTAAAGAAGCTATGAGGCATGCACAATCTCTTTGGGATCACATAGGAGAAGAGTGTCTACTAAAAGCTGACCCAGGAGTGCCTGGGTGGCTCAGTTGGTTGGGCGTCCTACTCTTGATCTCGGCTCAGGTCTTATTCTCAGGGTCATGAGTTCGGGCCCCACTTGATCTCAGGGTCATGAGTCTGGGCCCCAAACCGACCCAATGAAGAGCAAAGCTGGCCAAGGGCAGTCTCAGGTTCTGCTGCTCTGGTGCAGCCAATGAGCTTCTTTGCCACAGGCCACCATGAAGCCAAGTGCAGCCTACAGCTACATGAAGGTGAAGAGAGAACACAATAACCTTGGCAACTAGGCTTCATATGAAGGACACGACAGAAGCATGCATCTTACCTCTCTGTGAATCCGGATGCTCCTTATGATACGCTCTAAGAGGCCAACCTGCTGTGTAAGATGGCAAGTGGTGTCCTGCAATTGCCTCTTTTCTTTATCCAGAAGAAGAACTCTAAGAATGGGATAGATCAGAGGAATAACTAAACATTTCTGTATCACTACTAAAAACTCAAAACTATGTCCCACTTACCACTAGCTCTGGGTCTTAGCCCACTGCCTAGATTATGGAACCAACTTTGGCAGAATAATTCCCACCATGTTCCAAGACCAAGTAGAAATTAATAAGCTTTTGGCCTGTACAGAGTCATTAAAAACATATTGAGAACAGAGACATACCATATGCAAGAGTATGGAAGGGAAGGCACAATTCTAGCCCTTGAGAAATCTGACAAAGGATATGATCCCATTTAGGGGTGGGGCTGAAACAAGAGACTCTGCATCCCTTCAAATATTGTAGCTACACAGCCTGCATCTGGTTCTCATCCCATACAGTCATCCCATACTTTTGGAGTAGTAGTAGCAGTAGTAGTAGTAGTAACAGCAGCAACAACAGTAATAGTAACAGGAGCACCGGCAGCAGCAGTAGTAGCAGAAGCAGCAGCAGTAGTAGCAGAAGCAGCAGCAGTAATAGCAGCAGCAGCAGTAATAGTAGCAGCAGCAGTAGTAACAGCAGCAGCAATAGTAATAGTAATAGCAGCAGTAGTAGTAATAGTAGTATTAGCAGCAATAGTAATTAAGCAGCAGCAGCCACAGCAGTAGTAATAGCAGTAGTAGCAGCAGCAACAGCAGCAGTAATAGCAGTAGTAGCAGCAGCCACAGCAGTAGTAATAGTAGCAGCAGCAGCAGTAACAGTAGCAGTAGTAATAGTAGTAGCAGCAATTGTAATAGTAGCAGCAGCAGCAGTAGTAGCAGCAACAGTGGTAGTAATAATAGTAGTGGCAGTAGTAGCAGCAGCAGTAGTAGCAGCAACAGCAGCAGTAATAGCAGTAGTAGCAGCAGCAACAGCAGTAGTAATAGTAGCAGCAGCCATAATAGCAGCAGCAGTAGTAATAGCAGTAGTAATAGTAGCAGCAACTGCAGTAGTAATAGTAGTCGTGGCAGTAGGAGCAGCAGCAGCAGTAATAGCAGCAGCAGCAGCAACCGTTTACCACGGCCTTACCATGTGCTTAGGCACTGTGCCCCACCCACAGAGTAAACACTTAAACCTGCTCATGTGTTGGCTCATCTGATCCTTGCAACAACCCCATGAGATGGATATTGTTATGGAGCCTATTTTAGAGATGAGGAAACTGAAGCCCAGAGAAAAGCAACTGGTTTCAGGACATAAAACCGGAAAGTCGTAGAGCTGAGATGCCAATCCAGATCTTCCCGATTTCTAAGCCTGAGTTCCTAGGCACTACACCAGGCTCACTCTCCAGGGCCAAGGTGTATTTGGGACACATGATGGTAGAATAGTGTTGATCAGAGATTTGTGTTTGAGTTCGGGTTCTGCCACATACTAGCTGTGTGACCCCTGGCAAATTACCACATCTGAGCCTCAGTTTTCTCATCTGTAAAAGGAAGCAGCATCCTGTAGAAGAAACTTAACTCCAAGGAAAACACACAAGTCCAATCCAGATGGCCAAAGTGTGTCTTTAGGAGGGCAAGAGGGGAACACCATTAATGTTAAGGCACGGGTAATATGTCAGTTGTGTTGGGAATATCAGAATCAATGACCTAGTTTGAGAAGGGCAATGGCTTATATAGACTATATAAAAGGGGAGACACAGACAGTAAGAGATCATCAGAGACTCCCCAGGTCTGCCCTGAGAAGTGTGTGCCCACAACAGCAGAAAGGAGAGTTCCAGTCTGCTGGACAGATCTCCCCCACAGACTGTGGTGCTGTGGGCTCTAGGGCCAAGCTACTGAGGCCAAGCACACACTGCTGTCACTGACTAGGCTGCCCGAGTTCCCGAGCGTCTCTGGACCTTAGCTTTTTCCCATAAAATAGGGCTAATCCCAGAGCCTCCCTCGTGGGATTGGTGTGAGGATTGATGAGAGACAGAGAGAGCTTAGAACAATGCCTAGCACATTGTAAGTGCTCAAAAAATGTTAGTCATTATGGTTATTATTGGTGACTCTCTGTGTTAAGATCAAACCACTCTCTTTGCCCTAATTCTTTGCTCCAAGGAAACTTTTCATTGTAACTGGAGTTTCCTAATAGAGGAGAGAGTGCTTGGGCTGGCTGATAATGTGAATTCTTCTCTGCTGGGACCATTTCTCAGTATAAATTAATACAATTGGCATCCTATGGGTTTCATGAATTTAAGTCACTAGTATGAGCCTGTTCCTCTCTTGATCTACCTTGATTCCAGAGGTATCAGATGATAAAAATGAGTGTCAACACATAAAGTGACAGCCAGAATGAGCACAGCTAGGTCCTCAGTCAGGCAATGCCTATGTGAGAGAGACCAACCTCCTCCATGATCTTTTTCTCTTTATTTTCATAACATTTGCATGAATTGCTGAAAACAGCAGGCAGCAGAGCAACAGTTATGAGATAGGCTGCAAACCCAAAGGACAGTCTCTGGAACAATCTCTTTGTTGAGGGAGAAACATCTTTGCAGAGTTCATTGGCTCCTCGGGCAGGACCGCACCTACCTGTTCTGGACTGAAGATATTACCCATTTGTTGCTGTGGATTAAGTCTTCTTGCTCTGAGTTGTTCCAGAAGTTTCCTTTTCTCTAGGAGCAGTATATCATTTTGAGCACTGACCTCTTCCTGGAATGCCTTCTCCTAGAGATAATAAAGCCCCTCACTACCACAGCAGGAGGAAGAATTACGAAGTTGACAGCAAATTTCCCTTCTTTACTTTTCCTCTCCTGTCCCCTAGTCTGTTTTCACCTGTTTGCTGACATTGTCAGCTAGATAGTTCTTCTGTTTATTTTGGTTATTTTAGGTCTTGTATTTTTTTTGAACAATTAATCATTCTCCTGGGTTAACATTTAAAAATACCTGAGCACTCCACTTCCAATAAGGTCCCAAGGCTTTCATGTGTATTCTAATACCATAGGTATATCAAATCACTACCAAATGCAACTGAATTCCCCGAAGCTCCAGTTTGACATTTTTCCATATAATACAACTCCATCTGCATTGGGGTGATAGTCTTTTTAAGACAAAGTGAGGAGATGGGAATTTAGCCCCCATACTTGGCAACCAGCATCAGGATCTCAGTTGCCTTGGCAAATGAAGCAGGTAAGCCAGCTACCGAGAATATCCTTGCAGTGATCATGCTAAAGAGACTTCTAACTTGACACCATGTCTCGTTTTCTACCAACAATTTTCCCAGAAAGCAATAGCTAGTGAAGTTATAGCTAAAATGATAAAGGAGTGATCTGGTGAAAAAATACTAATGTTCTTATATTGAAAGAGTCAGTAGCTATTAATAAATTATCACTGTGGGTGAGGCGTTTAGAAGCTCAAAAGTGTAGAATTGCCCTCCTCATTTCACTGATGCCCCGTCAGTGATAAGTCCTTCACCCTTCTGTGTTTGTGCCCCACCTGCCAAAGGCAGGAGTGAGTGGATATGGGAGAAGCAGAATGAGCTGCTGGCAGATGGTGAATCACAGAGTTAAGAGGGGCAACTTTCTTTCTTTCTTTTAAATAAGGCACTAATATAGATCATCCAGAAAAGACTCCATCTATTATTCAAGAATTGTAAGAAAGGATATTACATTATGTTCCGAAACAAACTACTCCAGATTTTAAAGTCCCGCAGCCAGGACCCTTCAATGTCTAACAATAGTCCTGTCTGCTCTTATTTAAATACATTTTTGGCGAGGATTGAGAATAGAAGCAGTCATCCCACCAATACTACTCTGCTGTTACAACTGGATTAGAAAGGAAACCAGATGGGGCAGGCTACTGACACTCTGCCCTTTGGAAATGCCTTATTTATTTATTTATTTTTGAACTGGAAAATAAGGACACCTGCTCTAATAAAAGGATAAGATATTTGGAGAAATCTAGTTTGGATGTTTACAACAGTCAGGAGACTCAACTGGCTCACTGTATAAAGAGAAGGGTGAAGGAACGAAATCCAAAAAATTGCCATTACTTTCTGGAGACTTGGTGCTTGGAAGGTGAGTCGAGCTTTTTTATGCTAGTGGCTCTGGTCCACAGGCCCTAAAATAAGTAAAACCAGGACCTCCAGGTGTGTACCACTGTGGCATTAAAAGATCTCACATCAGTCTTCTCTAGGCTAAGTATTTCCTATTCCATTAACAATTCCTCTCATGAACTGTACATCTACCAATCAATATGTTTCTAAGAGAGCTTGCACCAAAAGAGAAGAGAAGAACATGTCTGGAAAGTTGTCTGTGTCAGGTGCCACCTCACGCATTTCCTATTTTAACTGCACAAAAGCCTCGTGAGGTGGGGATTAGTTCTGCCACTTCACGGACGAGGAAAATGATACCTGGAGACTTGGGCCAGGTCACAGAACTATGAAGTGGCAGGTCTAGATTTTGCATCTGTCTACGGCCAAAGCCCCCAGCAGCCTTCAAGGGCAGTGAGCAAAGGGACCAACTGCTCTTCCTTAGCCTCTGCTTATTTGCCATCTCTCCTGGAAATCTGTGGCTCTCTGGGTAGATGTGTCCGTTTCCCAGGGCTGCTGTAACAAATTACCACAAACTGGATGGCTGAAAACAAAAGGAACGGGTTTTCTCACATTTGTGGAGGCTACAAGTCTAAAATTGGAGTGTTGGCTGGGTAAGTTCCTTCTGGGGGCTCTATGCCTGTCTCTCAGCTTCTGGAGTTTACAAGCAATCCCTGGTGCTCCCTGGCATAGCTACATCCCTCCGATAGCTGCCTCTATCATCACGTGGCCTTCTTCCCCTGTGTGTGTCTACGTGTGCCTGCTCTTCTTATAAGGACGCCAGTCATATTGGATTTAGGGCCAACTCTAATCCACCATGAGCCCATCTTAATTAATTACACCTGCAAAGACCTTATTTCCAAATTAGATCCCATTCTGAGGTTCTGGATAGACACGAATTTGTGGAGGACACTATTCAACCCAGTACAGTCGGGAAGAAAGAAGTAGGAGGCTGTTTCTGTCATGTAAGCCTAACAGTGGAAGGCAGGCAGTACAAAAGAGTGGTAATGCAGAAGTAGGCTTCTATTTCTGGTGGGCCCACCAACCAGGATTGCTACTTTCTTCTGTAGTACTTTTCATGTACTTTTCCTAGTTGTGAGTCTAACCTAGATCTGAGTCTTTAAAGTTTGACAATTTAGTACCCAAAGAGAAGGATACTGCAAAATCCAACTTATTTTCCTCTCTCACTATAGTGTGGAGAATCAGGAGGATTTTTTTTTTAAACATTGGTGACCCATCTGTTATAATCCAAAAATGTTTTATTGTGTGTAGTCTAGAATTCTTAACCATCCCATAATAGCCCATGGAATGACTGAAATTGCATGAATTCTTTTGGGATCCTTGGCACATACATAGAAACGAGTATTTTAGGAGTGAGCGCAGAATTTTCAAAATTCTGATGGGCTAGGCATCTCAAGAAGGGAAAGCATTACTGGCTTAGTCAGTTACTCTCCACTTTGAATTCGTGTAGTTTAATGATCTCAAGACCATTCTGCAGTTGATTCCAGGCCATTTGTCTCATTTTCCTCCTACCTACCAGTAAGTCACAGGGGCAATGGGACAAAGATGAAGAAGATGTGGATATTTAGAAAAAAAGCCTGCAGACACTACACAAGGACTGATAAGTAGGGGTCACCAATTTTCACTGCCATTTAAAACTGACAGAAGTTTGAGGCAAAATGAGGGCAATGTGAAGTAGGAATGAGTTACGTAGGGTGGTCTGGAAGTCTCTGCTGATGGATATTTAAGAGAAGACATTTTCATTTGAAGACAAGACACTGACTGGAGTTGGAAGTGCAGGATAGTTTCAGTGTCTGATTCAGTTTACTAACACCATGAGTCTTACATACTTTTTGGCAGAATTTCTCACATCGAAAGAAGGTGCAGAAAGAAATGAGAACCTAGAGTACGAAGAGGCCACAAGAGAATTAAAGCACCAGGGGGCTTTCTCGAATGAGCCAAGCCATGGCACATTGGGGAGCTCTTCACCTTTCCACTCACTATTTCCCTTTGCTGACGCAGACCTCTGATTTCATTTTCCAGTTGTTCAATTCTCTCATCTCGTAGTTCTACTTCATGAATTAAACGGTCCTTAACTCTGCGAAGCTTGACTTTGTAATGGTAATGTTTCTTGTCATAGCTCCTATAAAAGTAAATTTAAATAGAGGCGCAGCTGAGCACAGTGGACATTCATGTTGCTTCCTCAGTGTGCACCTTTCTTGGGTTTCCTCCTCTTGCTTTCTTGAGGCCTGCCACCAGATGTGGGTACTTTTTTTTTTTTTAAAGATTTTATTTATTTATTCATGAGAGACAGAGAGAGAGAGAGAGAGAGGCAGAGGGAGAAGCAGGCTCCCAAGGAGCAGAGAGCCCGATGCGGGACTCGATCCCAGGACCCTGGGATCATGACCTGAGCCGAAGGCAGACGCTTAACCATCTGAGTCACCCAGGCGCCCCAGATGTGGGTACTTGTCCTGCCTCCCATCTGCAGGACTTCTGGTCCCCAAGTGGGGGAATGGACCAAGGGTAACCTCCTAAATAGCACCAGCTTTAGTCACCCCTAACTCAGGAAATTCCTTGACTTTGGATCCCTGACATCTAATTCTGAATCCTGCTCCATGGAGTCAGTCATTAATTTAAGTTTCGAGTTCTTGGCTATCCCCTTGGATGGTGATATAACCCACTTCAGTCTCTGATAACTGAGTCCGCTCTCAGTCCTTGCCCCGAGTCTGGACTTCTGAAGGCCAATTCTATGTAGGTCTCTGCTCAAGACTCTAACTCAGATTCTGACATAAATCAAACTTACCGCCAATAAGTACATGAAAAGATATTCAACATCATTAGCCATTAAGGAAACATAAATCAAAGCTACAGTGAGATACCATTTCACACCCACCAGGCTGGCTAAAATAAAAAAGAAGACAATAACAAGTACTGGCAAAGATGTAGAGAAATTGGAACTCTCAAACACTGCTGGTCAAATGGTGCAGCCTCTTTGGAAAAAGCCTGGCAGTTCCTCAAATGGTTAAACGTAGAGCCGTAGGACCCAGCAGCTCCACTCCTAGGTATCTACCCAAGAGAAATGAAAACATATGTCTTCACAAAAACTTATATGTGAATATTCATAGTAGCACTATTCACAATAGCCAAAAGGTAGAAACAACCCAAAGACCATCAACTGATGAAAGGATAAACAAAATATGGAATATCTGTACAGTGGAACATGAGTCTGCCTCAGAAAGGAATGAAATGCTGATCCACGCTACAACATAGAGGAACCTTGAAAGCATTATGCTAAGTGAAAGAAGCCTCACTCACAAAGCACCACATATTATATGGTTCCATTTCTATGTAATGTCCAGAAGAGGCAAATATAGAGGATTCCTGGTTGCCTAGGGTTGGGGGTGGGGAGGGAAATTGGGGATGGCAGATGATAACTAAAGGGTTTCTTTTGGGGGTAATGAAATGTTCTAAAATTGATTGTGGTGATGGAGGTACAACTAAAAGCCACTGAATTGTACACTTCAAATGGGTGAGCTGTATGGTATGTCAATTATATCAATAAACCTGTTTTTAAAAAAAGAACAAAAATCTATGTTACCATTTCAAGCTACTATAACAGCTAATATGCATAAACAAGGAAACAGATTAAAACCTCAATACCACCACCTCTTTGAAGATGACCGTGCTTTCCAAATAAGAATATTGTTATTCAGAAAGCACTTCTGCAAATTAAAACTTGCGGAGAGATTTTACTTTGAACCTATTAGGTCTAATAACACAAAATCACTCTAAACTAGGATTTCTTGACCTTTGTCCTATTGACATTTTGTGCCAGATAATTCTTTGTTGTGGAACTCTGTACTGTGCGCTGTAGAATGCTTAGCAGCATCCTTGGCCTCGACCCACTAGATGCCAGTAGTACCTTCTACAGTGTGACAACCCAAAATATCTTCAGACACTGCGAAACGTCCCCTTGTCCTGGGAGGCAAACTACTGCTCGCTGAGAACCATTGCTGCAGCTAACGTTCCTAAGCTGGGTTTTCTCTAAGCCTACAGCCGTGATTCTCAAACTGTGTTCTGACTGGCAACATCAGCCTCACCTGGGAACTTGTTGGAAATGCAAAGTCTCAGGCTCTACCCCAGAACTACAGAATCATAAACTCTGGGAGTGCATCAGTGTTTTGTCATAAGTCATCTGGGGATTCCAGTGCAGGCTAAAGCTTGAGAAAGCTATGGGCATATTAGGAAGGGAGGGAGGCCCTCATCACTCCCATTTCATTATAAACAGACTACCTGTGGCAGGCTATAAGGTGCAGGTATATAGTCTTTCTTCTTTCCTGCTAACAAAACCCAGATTTCATTTAGGTGTCCACAGAGAGCCCTTGATCTTGAGAAAGGTGGGTGGGCCCCAGGTGTGTGTGTGTGTGTGTGTTTGTGTGTGTGTAGCCAGGGGATGGGCTTGTGAGACAGGTATGCCTGCTGGGCACTTCTAGGAACTTGAGAAACCAACCCTCTCTGCCCTGGCTGCCCTCCGCTGAGGCTGCGCTACCTGCAGCTGCAGTCTCTGCCTTGTAACCATGACGTGACAAGCCTAAAGATGAAGGGGTCAACCCACCAAGCATGGCAGAGCAGAATGAATGAAAGAGCCTGGTTCTTTTTTTTTTTTTTTTTTAAAGATTTTATTTATTTATTTGAGAGAGAGCGAATGAGAGACAGAGAGCACGAGAGGGAAGAGGGTCAGAGGGAGAAGCAGACCCCTCGCTGAGCAGGGAGCCTGATGTGGGACTCGATCCCGGGACTCCAGGATCATGACCTGAGCCGAAGGCAGTTGCTTAACCAACTGAGCCACCCAGGCGCCCCAAGAGCCTGGTTCTTAACAACACCCCTGAGCAGCTGAATCTGCCTCAGAAATCATCTTCCTCCAGATTTCTTGTTACATGAGAAAAAAATTTTGGTCTAAATGTATTAGGTCGGTTTTTTGGTTTGTTTTGTTTTGTGGTTAATTACATCCTGATATCTTAAAAACAAAAAAACTACTCCAAACAAAGACCATTCTTTTTTTTTTTTTTTTGGTATATATCTTAATGTGGAAAACATCTTGAGAGACATTTGTATACAAAAAGAAAACAGAAACCTGATTTTTCCTTTAAGTTTTCTTTTTTCTTTCTTTTTTAAAATTCAATTAATTAATATATAGTGTATTATTAGTTTCACAGGTAGAGTTCAGTGACTCATCAGTCTTATATAACACCCAGTGCTCATTACATCACGTGCCCTCCTTTATATCCATCACTCAGTTACTCCATCCCGCCACCCCCCCTCCCCTCCAGCAACCCTCAGTTTGTTTCCTATGATTAAGGGTCTCTTATGGCTTGTCTCCCTCTCTCATTTCATTTTGTTTTATTTTTCCCTCTCTTCTCCTATGATCCTCTGTTTTGTTTCTTAAATTCCACATATGACTGAAATCATATGGTAATTGTCTTTCTCTGATTGACTTATTTCACTTAGCATAATACCCTCTAGTTCCACATCATTGCAAATGGCAAGATTTCAGGGTTTTTTGATGGCTGAGTAATATTCCATTGTATATACATACCACATCTTCTTTAGCGATTCATCTGTTGATGGACATCTGGGCTCTTTCCATAGTTTGGCTATTGTGGACATTGCTGCTATAAATATTGGGGTGCAGGTGCCCCTTTGGATCACTACGTTTGTATCTTTGGGGTAAATCCCTAGTAGTCTAATTGCTGGGTCGTAGGGTAGCTCTATTTTCAACTTTTTGAGGAAGAGCAAAAACTATTCTAATGGGGGGCACCTGGGTGGCTCAGTCTGTTAAGTGTCTGCCTTTGGCTCAGGTCATGATCCCAGAGTCCTGGGATCGAGCCCTGTGTTAGGCTCCCTGCTCAGAGGGGGAGTCTGCTTCTGCCTCTCCTTCTGCCCCCCACTCCCACCCAACTCATGCTCTCTTTCTCTCTCTCAAATAAATAAAATATTAAAAAATTATTCTAATGGTCTCTATAGCTCCAGACTCCCCTGAATGCCTAGATAGTTGGGTAAAGCCAGTTTAACTGAAAAAAAAAAAAAAAAGTGTTTAAGGATGAGAAAGCTACTCTGTCACTGTAGGCACTTGAGGGCACAGTCATTCAGGCCTGTGGTGGCAGGCAGTTTGCACATGTCGACGATCTGATCTTACCTGATCTTACTACCTCTGACACTTAAACTGGGGGAAGCCCTAACTTAAGTGAAGGGAACTAACTAAAACCCTGTGCTCCAGGCTTTTCACAAGACACCTCATTTGATTTTTTTTTAAATTTTATTTTTATTTATTTGACAGAGACAGAGAATGCGAGAGAGGGAACACAAGCAGGGGGAGTGGGAGAGGGAGAAGCAGGCTTCCCACCGAGCAGGGAGCCCGATGCGGGGCTCGATCCCAGAATCCTGGGATCATGACCTAAGCTGAAGGCAGACGCTTAACGACTGAGCCACCCAGGCGCCCCAGGATATTGACTTTTTAATTGAAAAAAATTAAATTAAATTTTATCATTTTTAAAATTGAGGAATAATTGGGGCGCCTGGGTGGCTCAGTTGGTTGAGTGTCTGACTCTTGGTTTCAGCTCAGGTCAATGATATCAGGGTCATGAGATCAAGCCCCATGTTGGGCTCTGCTCAGTACAGAGTCTGCTCGAGATTTTCTCTGTCCCTCTCCCTCTGCCCCTCCTGCTCGGGCTCACTCTCTCTCTTTCTCTCTCATAAATAAATGAACAAATAAATAGATAAAATCTTTAAAAAGAATAAATTGAGATATAATTGACATAAAACATATTAGTTTTAGGTACATAACATGATGATTTGATATTTTTATATATTGCAAAATGATCACACCACAGTCTAACATCTGTCACCATACATAGAATTTTTTTTCTTGTGATGAGAACTTTTAAGATTTACTCTCTTAGCAACTTTCAAAGATGCAATACAATATTATTAACTATAGTCACCATGCTATACATTACATCAGCATGATTTATTTATTTTATAACTGAAAGTTTATACCTCCTGATCTTATAGGAAAAGCTTTCAGCTTTTCAGCACAGAATATGATAATAGCTGTAGGTAAGCCTACATTTCAGGTCTTATATT